CAAAATCTTTTTTTCTGAACATTTTACAATTAGAAGCCTAAACGCTTTACTCTATTCATCCATATTTTTACAACAACCTCGTTTTGAATGACATTTTGTCAAACAAAAAACTCCATTTTTTTTACATGGACATTGTTTTGAAACGCATTTGCCTTTATAATCGCAAGTGCGACCACTTGTTGATGCACGATTTTCCCTTAGCTAATAATAAACATTTAACAATATCATCATAAACACATTGTTTTATAACACTTTTCGCTCGAAATCTTTCACTCAAAGAATTATTATGTTTTTCTAATTCTTTATAATAAAGTGATTCCGCACTTTTCACTTCGACAGTTGTTGAATCCGATTGAGACATTTTCTATAAGATTGTGTGAAGCACGTATCTCTATATTTATACTGTTTATCGATACGTCAGGCTTTTATCACGATTTTCTCTTTTTTTCTCATCTACTGTACGTTTACTAAAACATGTGACTATATGAATTTATCTCTAGCTCGATTCTAATTTTGCCTAGGCAGAATTGGAATTCTGATTTTGCCCAAGAAAATGTTAGTCAGTATTAGAATTCTAATTTTGTCTAGTCAAAATTAGAATTCCAATTTTGCCCGGGCAAATTCGGAATTTGCCTAGATTCCAATTTTGCCTACAACATATATATAAGAGAGATAGAAGAACGATATATTATAACAGTGGAAAGAGAACAGAAGGAAGAGGAAGAGAACCATCGAAGCGTGCCATCAATATCGGCACATCGCGTATGCTTGCTCATTCGTCTGCTTGTCAATGGCAAAAATAACAATCTAATTGTTGTTTCTACATGCTTTGCTATGATTCATTTCGACATAGGTATGCAATGTAGTATGAGTGAATTGCGCTGAGATTATATGGTTTGAAGAAAAAAATCGAAAAAAATCAAAGTAAACAGAGGATAGATTTGACCCGTGCATTGGATAGAGCCTTATTTGTTGTATATATGACTCAACTATTTTCTCACTGTCAGGGTTTCCATTTCAGAGTAAATTGAGATCTCAAAATATATGAAAGGTCCGAGATTTCTTGACAAAAATAAAATTATGAGTAAAATGCTTTTACATGGTTATCATATATGAAACGAATAATTTTCAATCGGGGAATCCAAGAGACATGTACAGAGTTTTACTCGCATGTATTATTCATGCATTTTCTGGAGTGTAATGCGATTGCTATTATTAAAAACGCATATTTTTTTTAGAAAAGCACTTCATAGCTAAGTTCCTTTTAACATTGTTTCGCAATAACAATGAAATGTCTAACAACGTCTCTCAGTCGAGAGGAGTCGACGGAAGTAAAAGAAGATGAAATAATATCATATTTTCTCTGAATATCTATCATTTTAATCTGTTGTGACATTTTTCCAGTAAAATGCTATTTTCTTGCGAATGACACTTAGTTAACAGCTCAACTTTTTACCATAGATGTACCATATACTCAGTCAAAAATGGTAAAAGAATCATTGATTAATCTCTTATAGTTAGCGAGAAATCAAAAAGTGAAAATAAGAAATCAGTCGTGACATTTAGTGCGACAATAGCTACCCATCTGTTTTATTTTTACTTTTTTGTTTCATCGTGAACATTTTTTAATTTATTTTTTAATCAAAATATTTCTCGCTCTTTGCTCTATCAAACACAAAAAAGAAATTTGAGTAAACTTGTAAGTAGTCTTTAGTAGTTACAATTTAATCTGTTGTGACAAAAAATGGTCAAAGTGTATGTTTTCATATTTTTGCAAGATTTGATCAGGAAATCAAAATCGAAATTAAGATTACTTTATNGTTGTGACAAAAAATGGTCAACGTGTATGTTTTCATATTTTTGCAAGATTTGATCAGGAAATCAAAATCGAAATTAAGATTACTTTATATAGTTAAAAAGAGGAGAACCTGAGCTGCCAACTTCCGTAAAAAAATCTATTTACCCAGTCAAAATTGTAGGATATAAAAAGGAATTTCTGTCGATAGATCCTGTCAAACACCTTTCGTAATGATCTTTTACGCTTGAAAAATCCTTACCACGCAAATAAAAACCTCGATAATTTCATGGTGAGTAGGACGGACTGAATGGAGCATTTCAACAAAATAATTATCCAAATCGATTGAGTAGAACTTGAGTTATAAGATGTTTCGTGCTCGCAGAGCAACCGTATAATGTCAGCGCAATTCACGTACATATATATAATTAAACTGAAAAATACTGCTTGCTTCTGTGCTCTATCTACATAGCAGAACGAAAAAGAGAAAGCTTTGAAAGAGTGCGCGCTACGACCAGCGAAACAGAAAGTGAGCGACAAGATCAATAAAGGAAGAAGTACTGTACGACGTTTCGTTACATAATAGAAATATTCAATGGAATCGAAGAAAGAAACTTCTCGCTTTTATGAAATTTCAATGATTTTTTATAATAAATAATAGTAGCAGAGCCATGTTTGATAAGAAAATAGCATGCGAACACACTCAGATTTATCAAGTAGATAATATACTCAATTATTTTTCGATCTGCTACGTGAATAAAGAAATTAAAGAATCCTTTGGAAAAATCAAGTTTAGCTTCCATTACAAGGTTTCGCGTTGAATTATCGCTTTCATTTTCTTTCATTCTTTTGACTATTGCGTAGAATTTAAATGAAGATGACGAAACGCTCATCTATTTAACAATGTGTAGACCCTTTCAGCTCTATTTGCTTGTATTGAAGCACTACTGGAGGGCAATGATTAATTTATTAGTATCTGAATAAATACTACTGAGATTCTTGTCATAAACTTACCGGTAACATAAAGTAGATCGATATTTTTGAACAGCCGATATTACTTATTGGTGCATATATAGAGAGTAGAAATATACTAGGTTTTGAACAATATTTTCAGTAAAGCAAAAGAACAATCAAAAAACATAATATATATGTTATTTTGTATTGATGCTTTCATGCGGTTCGTTTTATTTTCACAAGATTGATATCACTTGTGCTTTTCATGATCTTTATAAAGCTTGTTATCACTGTTTATCATTATGCATGAATAGGAACTTTCAGTTAAGGAAGTTGTAGAATCTACTTGAGAACCAATAATCGATTAGTTATACTGATTTGTAAATAGATACTAACTTTGACGTGCAATAATGCGTCTGAAAAAGATTTCTGGTAATGAATTATCATCATCAATATTGTTTATCTCAATTGTTTCATCCTGTAGATCAAGATCGACCATTACAACTGGGTCGTGATCGTGAAAATCAATTTTCGAATGATCAGTATTAAGTTGAACTTCACTCGCATGCGTTGATGAATATCCTAATGAACTATCATACTTAGGTACAGGCGTCTTCTGTTGAACAGATACTATTGAATTTTGATCTATAATTAAATGATCAAAAGAAATCCTAGTTTTTGTTTGAGATTGTGAATTATTATTTAAATCTAGTAAAGCTGTTGCTGCTGCTTCATATTCCAAATACAGAGAAGATTCATCTAACGTAAGGAAAAAAAGAAAATTCTCAATATATATTTGCAAAATTATTGTTTTGTAACAGTGTTAGAAAAGAAAATTCAAAGAATTTACCGGTGAAAATGTGATTTTGTTGTATGCATGGCGTTACAGCTGAATTGGAATAATTGAGATGATATTGTTGTTGATTAATTATTTTATTTTCATTTGAATTATCGTCAACAGCTGATAGAACTTGAATTGTACCATCTGGACATAATTGAATCAATCGTTTTGGTTTGAACGGTGGATGAAGTAATAATTGTCTACATGAATTATTTCCTTCGTCTACAAGAAACAAATACATATGTGAAACGATACTTATAATTATATAAAATAGTATAGTTATCATAGACACCTTTGTTCGCATTTAAATCATTAAGTAAAATTTTCTTTTTAAGATTTTTTTCTTTGAGAATATGTGGTGCATTTATCGAGAGTATGTTAATAATTTCAGTAATTTGATTCGAATCTGACAGATCGAGTTTATTACAAAGTTCTTCACATAACTTATTTTCATTCGATGATTTTATTGTGTTCAATTCATCGGATATGGTGACTGATTTTGGTTTATTTTGAATTATTTCCTTATCTTTATCTCTATAGTAAACATTAGAACGCAAGATTTTGATGTAGACAAAAGAGTAAAACATACAATAAGGAATATTTTGGATTTTGATCGGTATTCGTGCCAATTAACTGTAAAACAAGACAATTGCTAGAACACAATAAAGATAAAATTTAATTCATACTCTTTTATATTTTTCTTGAGCATTTTGAATTGAATCATCAACCAACATTTGTGCATTTGATGTCAATAGATTATAATTATCGAGTATTGCTTCGGATTTTTCCGATGAAGATGACTCATGATCAGAAAACGACAATACTGAATGATTTTGTTCACTGGTGTCTTTATGTAGCTTAGTACCAGTTGATAATTGTTCATCTACTGGCGAAATTGTTAAATGAGATTGAATACTTGGAGATACTAGGAAGAATATAAAAAGAATGCTAATCAGTTTATTTTTATTTTGTCAATATGATGGTTTCAAAATGACATGAAAAAACAGTCTAATTCACTATAAAGCCCCACGAAAAAGATTTTTAAGTAATTATTCGTACTTTTAGATATAATGTTGTAAGATTCACGTCTGTTTTTTTTCAAGAAAACAAAGAGAATATGTTTGAAGTTTAGGTTTTAAGGTTCGTTGCATCGTGCTATTTGCGAATAAATAGATTGAACGATTATTTACTAATTTTTCAAAACAATCGAGAGCAACAAGCACCAGAATCTTATCGCAAGGTTTCTTATGATCAAGAAAACATGCTAAACATTATTAAACAAGTTTTGGTTCAATTTTGAATTATCAAAGTACTAGGCTGACTTTCGTGCAGATAAGAAAATTGCATTCCTACGCATAGGCAATCTTCATGGATACACATACCCGTATACGAACTACGCTGAGTTTGATTTCCATCTGGAATTTGTGCAAATGATTTCGATTTTTGAGACATTTCTCTTTTGTTGTTTAATTTTTTTTGTGGCATAGATGATGGAAAAATCGGTTTTAAATGATCGTTAGATGTACACGGAAAGAATATGGGTCGGTAATGGTTACAACATGTGCCAGTATTCATTGATGGTAATGGTTCATATGAACGACAGCAAAGCGTATCAGCTAGTTGCTTACGAAAATCAATATGATTTTTCACTAAATTAGTTTCTAAGGTCATATTTTGACAATTAAATGAATTTACTGGTGCTACAATAATATGTAAATTCATTGTTCCTAAATCATCAGTTAAGTTTTTCTGTTCACTAGGTGCTGCAGAATTTGATTGGGATCGATTCAAATTTTGATTTGATATTGACCGAACAATCACACGAGTTTTATTTGAAAGTAGATTCATTTTTGATGAGATTCTTTCACTGCAATATTTGAGATAATATATATATTTATCAACTTAAACTACTTTAATCTACCGTGAATGGTGTGAATTACTTTTCAATAATCGATGATTAAATTCTTTTTGATCCTCTATTTGAATCATTGATAAATGATGATGTGGCAGTTCTCGATAGATTTTCTCAGAATAATTTTCTTTTGCAGAATTATTAAATGATGTAGCATCCATACTATTTATAGTCTTAGTATCACCTTGACCATGATGAATTTCTTCTTTTGAAAATAAGAAAACTTGCCAAAGACTTCTAGAAAACAATGCATATACCAATCTTATACACCATATCGAATTTCTGTAAATAGTAATAAAACTATCGACTAAACAATCATTATAAATATCATCTAAACTATAACAAAATAAAGAGAATGGCTTCATTTGAGTTTATAAATTAAGATTTTACTAATGAATTTTTCTCTTTCGTGATAATCTTTGTGCAATTATTGATTGATTACTTTTAGTGTATTCATCATCAGAATCCATTTTCATATAAAAACTTATGATTGTTGTTTAATAATCATTATTATTTACAAAAAATGAATTTAAAATTAAAGGAAAAAAGATAAAAAAAACACAATAGTAAATTGCCTATTGAAGAGTAAGTTCGATAACCGTTTATATTTATTTGTTTGTAAAGAAAATAGAGAGTTTCTATACTCGCGCTTTTCTTCTAACGAAATTATTTTAACTATATTGCTATACATAAAAACGTTGAATAGTTTTAAATCAATGATAAAGATGGCGCCGGCAGCTTATTCTAAATCCTCTCTCTATCTTTCAATATTTTACAGATGTACGCATATATGTACTGATTTAAAAGAATCAAAAAAAGAAAAGAAAAGAAAAGAAACGCATATTCGAATAAAACGTACTTTGCCATTTATTCTAATTTTCAAGTTGAAAATGTCGTATATTAATCAACGAAAACATGGTTTAAATTTTCCCAAAATTAAACGACTTAATCATCATGCTAATCATCATTGTGAAAAAAGAATAGGAGTAAGATAGAAAGAAAATGAATTTTTTCTATTTAATGAACTCAGTGAGTTTCTTTACTTTTTTTCTTAGAACCATCATCTTGCGTTGAACATTTTTGAGACAGCATCAAACTATATAAAATTTTTTGATTATCCACTGCCTGATTTACTTGTTGATCATTCAACTGATCCATTGCAAAATACAGCTCGATCATATATCGATACATCAATGAATAATTCAAGTGAAGGTCGTTTTAAAAATCATGATATGATTGTACGCCGAAACGGTGAAACAACGATACTCCGGCCAAAACAAGATTTAGTCCTTGTCAACGGCTTTACACCAGTTGTACGACCTTCATCTATATTACCGTCATATCAACCTATAATGTCTCATTCTCAAGTAGGCCCATCTTTGGCAATTATGAATAAAATGTCAATAAAGAAACGTGAACAAACATCTATAATTAAAACCAAACGAAAGAATCGGCATCAACGAAATCGTTCCAATGAGAAATTTATTGAAAAAAATAAATTTCAACATGACACTGTAAATAAGAATTGTTTAAATCAACTAAAAAATAAATTCCCATTTTGCTTTAATCATCTAGTTTTCAAAAAATGATTTTGGCCATCATATTACACATGAATCAAATTTTATTCATTTAGTTACACAAGCTATACATGAGATTATGGAAGAGGTATATCAAAAATCTTCATTGATGTATGAAAATATTGAGATCTATTTTAGAAAGTATCTCAACCAGTACCTCTTATGTCAATTCTTCCTGAATTTCCAAATCCATATTCAAATTATGAAGTAATTTTATCCATCTAATAGAAATCTTCTACAGAAAGTATTCATTTTTTTCCGGATTTAGAACCAATCATTTATACCACGTTTCGAAGAGATACCTATTATTCAACCAATAAATCACTCATCATATGCTAATCAACAACAGTATATTCCATCATTATTTTCAATACCAATTAATAGATATGATGATTCATCTTGCAATGTTCTTCCAGAACAAAATCGCCCACTGAATTCTATTTCTCTACATCATGAACATATTTGCTTCACTTCATCAACGTCTCATCAACAAAATTATGCTCATATGTCTGACTATTTTTTTTAACTAACAATACATTCTCGAAGAACTAAAATAACACAAATAGACAGATAACTTTATTTTTGTGTTTATTATTTAATTTAACCTTTGTAGTCATATTCTCACAACTTGCTTTTCTTTTTCCTGTTCTTGTCTATTCATCTACTAATATTTTTCTTGTGTTGTAAAACAAGCATCGATTGGACAGAAATGAGGAAAAAGTGTAATATAAAGCTGTTATTTTTGTTGATATCAACTGTTATCAGTATTGTTTATGTAAATAGAAGAGATTGTGCTAGACAGATTTTTCTGCTCGTGAGCATTATTTCTATCGGATATGAAAGAATGTCGGCATGCATTTGCTTATTTATGACGATGATATACAAGCATATGCATATTGATAATTATCGAACAAATAACAGTATTGAAAAAAAGGTTATCCTTTATCATACGAGAAAACAACAATAGAAAACTGCTTATATAGAATATGCAGTTCAATATTTGCTTATATTCTTATGAAAAAAATGATTTAATTGTTGATACAGGTAGCAGCAGCAGCAGCAGCAAAACTTGAACATGAACAGATTGAATAAAACAAAATGCAAAGAAAAATACAGAAGAATTTACTGCTAACCTATTTTTCAAAAAACGCATTTAGAAAGAACGAGCGATAGCGAGAATATGCATCTATCAAAACTGATTTCGTTTACACATTCGGATTCTTTTTTTTTCTTTCTTTATAAACTAATATAGATATAAAATCTCGCATTCAATATAAAATTGAAAAATAAACACAAACTTTAAAAAAGAGGTAAGAAAAAAGAGGTATTTAAAAAAAAAGAAAAGGCTTTTCTAAAGGTAATCATATTTTAAATAAATGAGAGATAAAGACATTTGGTTTTTGTTTATACATGTGATTAAACGGAGTTGGATGTGAATTTCTAATCGATTTCATTTAGTCTTGTTGAGCAGCACCTGGTGGTGCAGCATAATTTGGTTTGTTACTATTATGAAAAAATCAATAGATGTGTTAATTAATCAACGAGAGAAAAAACACTATAGTATTTACGTCATCTCAGATCCACTCTTGTTTCCTAAATGTTCACCAGTATCCATACCTAATGTACCAGCTCCTTGACCGAAACCATAACCTTTTGGTCTAAATAATAAATTTTCTTGTGATTTCTTTAATTGATATTTATTGATCGAAAAGCTTACCCGAATTTACGTGCGTAACATTGTTTGCAATAAACATTGCCTTCGTGTTCAGCCATGGTCATAGCTTCTAACATTTTCTTACAAAGACCTTTGATAAAAACATATAATTTCGTGTATTCCATTATTAATCATATTATAATTATTCAACATACCACATTTGAAGCACATCTTGTGCCATTTCTTTCCAGCTGCTGGAACTTCTTCGGCAGCATAGACATTTTGATTACATTTTGGACCTATTAAATGAATTAAGTCAAGTATATTTAAAACAAAGAAGATTTTTCCTGTAAAACTTACATTTAAAGGTCTCTGGTGGTTTGAATGGCATGATTCAAGTACGAATGAAAAAAAAAAGAATGAAATCTTAAATGAATTGTATGATATATGATAAATAATGATTAGAATTTTAGTCACACTCATCTTGAGTAGCATAAAAGAAAAGTTAAAAACACAAAAAAAGACTCAAACGTGTAAATGTAAATATAAATATATTTATATGTATTGCAATGTTTGTATATTAAACTTTGATTATTGATTGAAACCCGGTGGTGCAGCATAGTTTGGCTTATTTCTAAAACGAACAAAATTATGTATTTAAAAATATCTGTAAAAACAAACGCTGCAATTCTTACGTCATTTCTGAGCCACTTTTATTTCCGAGATGTTCACCTGTATCCATACCAAGACAGCCTGCTCCACCGCCAAAACCAACACCTTTAGGACCCTAATATTTAAAGAATTTTTTGATAGAAACAATGATAATATTGAAGAATTCACTTACAAATTTACGAGCATAGCATTGCTTACAGAATAAATTGCCGTCATGTTCAGCAAGTGTTGTTGATTCAAGCATTTTTTTGCATAAACCTATGTTTGTTTTAGATAAATAAGACATAATTAATAATTAGAATAATAATAATCATAATAAAAAAGAAAATAATATATATATATATATATATATATTGATGCATGATATAATGTGTTAAGGAAGGAACAGGCATAGCATAAGATCGACACCTTACCACATTTAAAACATGTTTTGTGCCATTTTTTACCCGCTGCTGGAACTTCTTCAGCGTGATAAACAGGTTGATTACATTTTGGACAACGAACGATTTGTATTGCAAAAGGCATCTGAAAGGTATAGTAAGCATAATGGTATCAGGCAGGGACATGCAATAAAATATAATCTTGTGAACATAATGTTGCTTAGAAAGGAGAATCTAAGGTGAATAGTTATCATGGGATGAAGGTGTGTTATTCTCTCGCATAAATATATGTATGTACCGCATTTAAAGCACATTTTATGGTATTTTTTGCCAGCTGCTTGAACTTCTTCGGCGGCATAGACATTTTGATTACATTTTGGGCATTTGACTACTTCAACAGGTTTGAACGGCATTGTTCAATAATTAAATCTATCTATCAAAAAAATGTAGAAATATTTTCTACTTACAATTATTTATATCTAATCAATTCTTTGTCCTACTTCTTGTTACTTAATTCAAAAGACTAAGAGAATCGAGTTGTTGCCTACTGAAACTTTTAGCTTCTATAAAAAGAAAGGATATAAAAACAATATAGTTGCTTTCTAGATGTCTCTTCTTTTTTTCTTCGTCTTGCTATCTATGGGAAACTATTCCATTTCGGAAAAAAAAACAATAAACATTGTACATAACATCTCTCAGAGATCTTTCCTTAGAAAATGATTGTTACCAGCGTCACCCTTTAGACGAGAAGAAAGATGCGGTGTAAATACACAGTATTGAATATATGGAATGTGTGTGTGTGTGCGATAACCCGAGAAAAACAGAATAGAACGAACAATACCATCAGTGCTACTCTACAGTTTCTCCGACAGAAACATATATCATGGGCAGATATAAAAGAAAAATAATATATACTCAGAGCTTCTGAGACGAATTGGTCTTTTTTCTTTCCATAAGATCGTTATGTACATGCGTAGGCATAAACAATCTAGTGGAGAAAGAAAGCAATTGCAAGATGAAATCCTAACCCAACTGTTCGTCCCAAATTTGGCATTACGCTGTCGATCGAGAAAACGACCATTTAACACCCACATAACCTCTTTCTTTCTATTCTTTTCTAACCACTGGCAAGCAGTGTTTCATCTACTATGGTTAATCTTGTATATTTTCTTCTTCATTCTATTAGACAGCTATATTCTTCTCCGTTTTTCTTCTTCTTCTTCTTCTTCTTTCCCACTTCTCTCTCATCAGTGACATTCCTGATATCAATCACATCTAATACAAAGAAAAGAACCATATCAAGCAAATATTAGTAGCGATCAGAACAATTTCTCCATTTTTGTTTCTCATTGTAAAACACCAGAAAACAAAGCAAAACTAAAAATAGATACTTATATAGCTATGATTTAGATGTAAGTCATAAAACGACTCTTTTTTTATCCAATCACCAGCTGATGTGTATACAATGTTGACAATAACTGATTTTAGACTCTCAATGATTTCTCTTTTTGTTTATGGGTGTTAATTGTAGAAAAAACCTATGCGATAAGGAAAACACGGCATATACACACCCATCTAAATATAGATTTGTTGCATGTCATTAGTAGCAAAGATAGCTCGACAGTTACTAGATATATTTTGGCCATGATCAATCATATAGCACATTTACAACTTCTTACGAGGGAGGGTCATCAAGTGTTCAATCGCTTTTGCGTTGAAACTACTTACATTGTGTAGCTTCCGATGAGTTATGAATACGCTAAAAATATTTTGGGTGGATAGCTTATTGAGACGAAACTAGGTCATTTCTAACGTATGAGCTTTTTTGAGTGTCTGGGGTTCCCCTAGGAACATTAAAAAAATTGATGTTCGAATTTTGACTTGAAACTTTTCATAGAGAAACTCGCTAAGGAGAACAACTTCTTGTCAACGTTTCAGACCTTCCGAATTACTATTCCTATCGTTAGGCATGGGTATTGTGAAATTTTTATTGTACATCTTTCAAATGAAGTAGCAGATTTAATGAAACAAATAAATTCAATGATCAAAAGCATTCAAAAGACACTACTCTCGTTGAGATGTATTGCTACATAAAATTTCAAGTTAACATTCGAGAATCAATTTTCGGATACTCCTGAAGGAGGCTACGGCAATAATTAAAAAATACAATAAAAATGGTCTATTTTCGTAACAATAAGCTACCTGTCCAAAATATTTTTAGCGTATTCATAACTCCTTGGGAGCTACATAATCTAAGTAGTTTCAACGCAAAAGCGATTGAACACTTGGTGGACCTCTCTCGTTAGTTGTAATGCATTGATGCTGAGTACAGAAATACGATAGAGAATAATCTTTTTATTGATCAGAATGAAAATTGCACATAATGTAAAATAAATATTCATTGAAAGAAACAAAAGAACAATCAACGAGAAAGAAGATTTCGATGATCGGCTGAAAATCGTTCATGGTTTTGATAGTGGATACCAGTAGATGGTGAAGTACCATTATTGAAATGATGAAAATAGCTAAAAATAAATAATGCAAACAATTCAATAAGAATGTGGTGCGTGTCATTTTTATAAAGAGCAAGCCTTATGCTAGCTTTCAGAATTCAATAAAACTAACCACAGACTATCTATGTTTTTTCTATTAGGATAAAAATAGGATTTTGCGACCAAGAACAACACAGAATCGCCCACTATTTGACACTTCTAACGACAAAACAAACCTCAATTATCGTACATCTGTATGTTTATATCCTATGGAAACAAAAGAAAGTTCTTTAAATGATTGATAGGCTTCGAGGTGAATCTATGTAGATCCTCATTGGTTATATATACCTTAACAAGAACTCAGACTAGTAGATTATTACCAAAAATACACTTCATGTTTTTTTGCACTTTTCATGGTAATCTTCTTGTCAACGTGAGGAAAAAACTAGAACGATTCGTTTTTAAATTGCAACTGGAAAAATTATCTAGACAAATCTGAACAAGAGCAGTTTAGTCTGGTTGTATCTTATTCTAGGAGTACGAAAATAACCTAAAACTATCATAGTAAGCTATACTCATTAAGGTTTGTCTCGAGGCAAAGTTATAGGTTGAAAAAACAGTTTTCATGATGCCTGAGGGAAAAAACTATGCCAATGAATTAAAACGTATCCTAGAAATACACTATTTTCCAAAAACACAACATGAGAAAGTTCGAACTCTTCATTCAAATAATTCATAACGAAACAAGTTTCATATGATGTGCAGCATCTCAATTCAAAAGCAACTAATGAGTTTGACAATTTACTCCGTGACTCCTAAATAATATTTACTTGTGTATATCAGCAGATTTTATAGGTGAACTAGTACATAGATCCTTATTGAAACCTACTGATAGGCGTCTTTGATCTTCGTCGTTAATGGATAATCCATCTGTGAATACTGCATTCTGTTTCTAAAAGTCAAACAAAGTGCGATATATTTAATAAGAAAAACAGCAACACTCGAATAGAAAATTTATACAGTTTCTGTTTTTATTGAAAATGCAATCATTTGATTTCTCGTTCGAAGTTCCTATGAAAAAAAACAAAGGCAAAAAATTTACAATTAATTTCTTGGAGCTTTACTTCAATTTCATTCAATTGTGCATTCATTCGTTGTTTTGAAATCATCAATGCTTGTTCAAGACATTCGATTTTTCTATGTAAATTATAAATAGTTGTATTTTTATCTGTTATTTCCATTTGTAGTTTATTCATTTCGCGTTTAGCATGAAGAATATTTTCATTACAATGATAGATTTGAATTGATAAATCATTTGAATTCTAGAATCAAATAAATTGACGATAAAATAAATAAAAAAAACTAATAAAAAAAAAATACATTGGTTTTCTTTTCTTTTTTTAATTGATTTATATCATTGGTTAATTGTTGAATTTTTTCTTGTAAAATTTTCTTATGACAATTCGAAGAACTAGAAAATAAATTTACATACATACATGTGTGATCTGTTTTTCTAGAAGTATACTTGATGAGTTTATTGGTTTGATCAATATTTATTTCGATTTCATGACAAATGAAGTTTTCATAATCGGCATTATCTAATTCTCTACTATAAAATATATTTCCTTCAAAAAGATCAATTCAAAAAAATCATACTTAATTCCAGACATTGAACTATCGATCATTTTTTCTTCAAATAAACGTACTTTAAGAATTTCTTTTTCTGTTTGTAAACGTTGCACTTCTAATCGAAGTAAACTGCATTGTTGTTCGCTATTATTCAATAATAAACGGATTTTATCGATTTCATCGGACTTAAATTGAAACAAAATGCTAATCAGAATCATCAAAGAATCGATTAACGATTTACTGTAATATTTTTTCGACAAATATCAAGTTTATTTTTGTGTCGTTCCCGTTCAGTATTTAATTCATTGCCTAATCGACGAATTTCTATTTCCTAAATAATATGAAATGAATAATTAGAGATTCTCGGTCATGAATAAGTAGATTTGAACTGTTTACTTGTTCATCAGAACGATTTTTATAAAAATCGATTTCATTTTCAAGAGTTATTATTTTCGCTTCAAAAAAGTTTTTATTAACTGCTGGATCGCCTAATGGCTGCTGCTAGAAAATAGATATCGAGATAGAAAATAAATGAATACAATGGTAAACGATTACGTTACTGCGTTGTAGCGAGTTTATTAATTTTTCTAATGCAGCATTTTTTTCACGTAAATTACTTTCCTCATGATGATGAGTTGGACCATGCATTTGTTTTAAATGATCATTTTCAATATTTAAACGTTGATTATCGACTTCAAGCATCTATTTAAATAATTGAATACAATTATTATTATTATTATTATTATTATTAAAATAAGAAGCAGAAACATAAATAAATGAAATTATAAGATATATCTTTTCAAGGAAAAATTCTTTTCTACTTTCAACAACAAAATTTTCTTTTGTATTGCCGTTTTTTTTCTATATATTAGTTGGATGTCAGTTAGTTAAAAAGCGTTGCTGATTTTAGCTTGACACGATACATAAAAAGGCTTTGTATAGAAAATGAGTTAAATATTCATGAATTTTACTTGATTCAGTTCTCGAAGGCGAGTGATTTCATTTAATTCTTCGTTCATTGATCTATTATCTTGATTATTTTTATTCGTGGTTCTTAGTCGTTCATATTCTTGTTGAAAATTAGAAAGCTAAATAAAAATTCGTATTTATATTTCTATAGAAGGAAAAATTACTTCTTGACTTAATTTGTGAACCTCATTATCATATTTCATTATTATAGTTTGAGAAGTTTGTTCGGCTTTATTCAACATCATATGTAATTGACTAACCTTAAATTTGAGAACAAAAACGGATTAAAAAAAACAAATGGTTGAAGATTACACTTTACTTCAAAATCTTTCTTTTCGAGTGCTAGACGATTTCGCGAACTTTCAGATTCAGATAATAATAAATTACGTTGTAAATCCTCAAGACGTTTGTGATGATTCACTTGTTTCATCTGACGTCGATTGATGAAGACATCAATTTTTTTAAGTACTGTACTAAGATTTGTTTCGTTTGTTGAATGATGACGATTTCTTTTAAAAGAATATTTTATATTTATATTTGTAAAATCGAATAGAAAAATTTACTTTTTACAAGCATCTTTTAATTGTGAAAGAAGTTCGTCTAATTCATTATCGGACATCGTATATGAGGATGATGTAATTTTTCTTTGTTTCTTCACTCTATTTTGTCAAAGATCTAATCGATAAACATGTGGCTAATCAGAGCCATAAAATGTGTAATACTATAGATAGTTGTGTAATGTAAAGAAATCGAAATAAATTATCGATGAACAATTCATTTCAGCGCCATCTAGGAGTGAATCTCGATAGCGGTTTCACATTTTTAAAGATTTTCAACAAGTGTACTAACTCAAGAGAACGTCTTACGTAACAATAAAGCCAGAAAAAATTCAGCCTATTTAAAAATAGAAAAAAAATGCCATACACAACTAGATGTTAATCAGTATAGACACGTGCACAAGATGTTTACTTCAAAGAGAATTAAAAAAATTGATGTACATTTCTAATTAGTATTGACTTTGTCTATAATAACGATGCCATGACTTATTCTGTAAAGTGTAAAGCAAAAACAAAAAGAATAATTAAATATACACTTAATAAACTGTATTGGTTAGAATGAACCAACGTTTTGTTTTTGTGAAATCGTTGAACATATATGAATATCAATTTTGTTAATCCCTATTACAGTTACTTTCTCATTTAGCAGGATTTTGTTATATGCAACATTGATTATTTTAATTTTCACTATATTTTTCATCCATGTTGAACAAAGTTCTTTATTACAATATCCCTCATCAAACATGATTAAGTGGAAGTTCTCATCGAAACAGTAGATATCGAGGTCATATGAACACAGTGCTAGTATTGATACGATGAAAATACCTATAGTTTCAACATAAAACAGATCAATCTCTTAATTCTGAAAGATTTCAAACTCTTGGGTAAGTTCGAATTAATACTGTGATAAAAAATAGCGGATCTAGGTAATTATTATCTACGCTCGCTTCGATGCGTTTAGTTGAAGTAAAATATAAATATATGTATCAACTGTTTTAATGGGTTTCATCATGCAAGATGCCACCTGGATTGTTTGACATCTAGGTTTCTAAATATCACCTGCGAGGGAACATTGACAAGTGAATCGCACCGTTTGATCTCATATTTTGCTCATAGGTAGACAGGATCCAATGAGACTAGGAAAAGCATAAATGATTTTGTGCCGTTAGGTCTTTCCTTCGAAGTTATGACCGTTTTATTGAATTTTTGGCCTTAATCAAAGGATTTATAGAAAAATTAAATAAAAGAATTCTGAACTGAAATTTTGTCTAACAATAGGTCTCATTGGTGTTAGAAAATTGTACAACTTTCAGCTAAAACTGATGCTTTTTTTTAGAGATATTGCAGATTGAAAAAAACGGCCATGGTTCAAAAATTATCGTAAAGTTGACTTTTCTTCAATCTGCAATAGCTCTAAAAGAAAGTATCAGCTTTAACTGAACGTTTTACAATTTTCTAACACCAATGAGGCCTATTGTTAGACAAAATTTCAGTTCAGAATTCTTTTATTTAATTTTTCTATAAATCCTTTGATTAAGGTCAAAAATTTCAATAAAACGGTCATAATTTCGAAGGAAAGACCTAACGGCACAAAATCGTTCAGGCTTTCTCTAGTCTCATTGAATCCTGTCTACCTATGAGCAAAATATGAGACCAAACGGTGCGAATCACTTGGGAATGTTCCCTCGTTAGGCAAATACATTCTTAAAATGTGGGTCACTTTGTAATTTTAGTTTCTCCGTAATAGTGCATTCAAAGCTTTTCAAAGAACAATTTATACAAAATCAAAAGATTCTATAAATACTTTTAGTCCGAAACTGCGCAATAATTCTTTTATCATATACCTCGACTTGGGTCAAGAAAAAGTTATTTTTAGTTATCTTTTCAACTTACTTGCTTTTATCTTATCTGTGTTTGTTGATATTAAGCATATCTTATGGGAGTGCTGTGTATTTTTCATTCGTCTTATACTCGGTAAGATTCCAATGCTAACGGTTTCTACTACTCTTCGTTTTTTCCTCTGGACTCTCTGTTCGATCACAGGTATGGACGGTACTAATGAAAAAAAAGAGCAACTCTTGATTGAATGTCATTTTAGTTCATGGAGCGCTTCGATTTGCAAACTACTATCAAGACCATATGGTCCTTCAACGTGCTCCACAGCAAGCCATCGTATGGGGATATACAGATACTTTAAATGTACCTATTAGATTGACAATGAATAATAAAAGTTATTATACGATGAGCTACAAATCATTTATTGAATTAGCAAATGTATCAATATGGTCCGTTACACTTGATGCTCAAACAGACGAAGGACCATTTCAAATTCAAGTGACTCAACCGTTAGCCAACGGATCAATGCAAACCATAACATTAAATGATGTTTTGTTCGGTGATGTTTGGATTTGTTCGGGCCAATCGAATATGCAATTTGCTGTTAGTAAAATGTTCAATGCAACAATCGAAATAGAAAATGCTGGCAAGTATTCGAAAGTAAGATTATTCACTGCATCAACTGCACAAGCTTATACACCGCAAGAAGAGCTGCTCTCTATTGGATTACGATGGTCAGTAGCATCGGCAACTAGTGTTGCAAGTGGATATACATCAGCAGTATGCTGGCTTTATGGTCGAATGATACACGAGGGACTGGGCGGACGACCTATGGGTCTCATACATACATCATGGGGTGGAACTGATATTGAATATTGGTCCCCGCCTGAAGCTCTTAAAGACTGTGGTATCACAGAGTATGTTTACACTGTATACGTAATACTTCATACGAGACTAGGATCTTATTTAGAAGTAATCAAATAATATCTGCAGCAAAAGATCAGAAATCTGAAGAAAAAGTTAATGTAGTACTCAATAATACAGTTCTATACAATGCAATGATTCATCCGTTTACAAGAATGGTTATTAAAGGAGCTGTATGGTACCAAGGTAAGTCATTCCGATCGATCACTAATGCACTCTCTGCTATTATTATTTAAGGTGAAAATAATGCAAATTTTAATCGTGACAAATATCCTTGTACATTTTCTAAAATGATTGAATATTGGCGGGCTATATGGCATACGCGCACGAATTCTATCACCGATCCATTGTTTCCTTTTGGTTTTGTTCAAGTAATAAAATGTTCAGTTAGTCATTTTAATATTTCTCTAAACATTTGTCCATTGTAGCTATCGACAAACGATCGAACTGGTAAGGTTGTTGGAGGATTTCCTTGGATACGTTGGCATCAAACATTTGATGTTGGCTATGTACCTAATTCAGTTGTGCCCAATGTATTCATGGCAGTTGCGTTAGATCTACGTGACGATGAAGGAGGGTAAGGACTTGTGTGAATTTCCGATGTCACAATTTACTATTGTACCCTTATAAAAAAAAATAGAATTCATCCACGAAATAAGCTTGATGTTGGATATCGCTTATCTCGATCTGGACTTGCTGTTGCATACGGTTACAAAAACATAACATATCAAGGACCTACTGTTGCGAGTATCTCTGTAGCGTCCGATAGTAGAAAAATAAATATTACCTATGCAGGCCAGATGTCATCTAGTGTTGAACTACGAAATCCAAATGGATTCGAAGTAAGATTTAATGTTTCTTTTGTAATTTTTCTACTGATTTTGACTTCATCCATGCGTTTTATTTAGATATGCTGTACAAGCAAACCGGTTTGCCTATCGAGTGAATCAGTATGGGCTACTGCTACAGCTAGTCAAATACAAGGGTCATCGTTGGCTATTTCTCTTGCTGTGCCAAGTTCGTGTATATTAAAACCAATCATTGGACTGCGTTATTTGTGGAGAGAAACTCCTTGCTTATTCAAACAAGCAGCTGTCTACAGTTCAACAGATTCAGACCTGCCCGCTCCACCTTATATTCATTTCTTTTAATATAAGGCCTATATTTGTATTGTACTGTTTTTCTAGTGGTTCTTTTTATTTCATTAAAAAGTAACGTATAAGATTAGTTTGAATAAATCAAATCTTTTCAGAAGAAGCTAAACATAAATGTAAATAATAAGAGCATATTTTTCCTATTTCATTTCCAACTACTCGTTTTAGTAAATTGAATCTATTGTTGGTAATATTTCTCATCTTCGGCGAATATAAATGTAACATGCATCATTTCGCGATTGCTATTCAACTTTTTTTATTAACAAAAATCACAATTTACAGAGACAGTAGCTATCGAAACTACTAAGATTTTTGTTCGTTCTTTTTTCCGGAAGCTTAAACTCTAGAAAAAGATTCGAATAGATATCATTGTTCCCTAAGAGAAATATGAAGAAACAAAAATGTGTGTCCTATCTTTAAATACGTATTCTTTTTCAAGGAGGTATAAAGAGTTTACAGAAATCTATCAAGATGAAATTGTTCTAAAACGGCTCTTAATTGAAAATTCATGTTCAGATCTTCAATTCAAATGTTATATACCTGTGCATTCTTGCTGATAGCAAAAATATGAATTTTCCTCTCGCATTTTGAGATTTAAGGAAGGTTCGAGCGGAAAAAATGAAATTGCTAACCCTTAATTCGTATTGTAAAACAGTCAGCTTTTGACACTAAGAAAATATGATAGTTAAGTTAATTGTTTATAATACATGTTTGTAGATTCAAAAAATAAAACTTCTAGTTGCACCTAATAAAAAAGTAAAAGTACTAAATCTAAGAATAATATATAACTAAACGAAGTGAAGTAATTAATGACAACAAAATTGAATAGAAATATCGATAGCTGACAAAAAATTTACATTGGTATATTGATTTATAAATTTATACGTTGTTTCCAACAGAAAAGCGTTAAAATGTATCTCAAACATTGCAACTGTTTTTTCATCTTCAATACATCGTCCTACATTATAAAAACAACTGGATGCATCACTATTAATGAATACAAATTTTGAGTGCGCCCATGATAAAAAAAAAACTCTACTTGTTTTCTATTCGTGAACATTGCATGCGTGAAACAACAGCATGATACTACAAGCGTTCTGGATAGCGAGAGAAATAAATTTTGTTGTCAAAAAGGGAATAGGGCCTTGAGAAAATACGTAAAAAGAAATAATGGGAGCCCGCAGTTTGATGGAAGAAAAGGACGATAGAACACAAGAAAAAAATAGTAAATACAAAAATAGAAGAAGATAGTAATAATGTAGTAGAGTGTTTGATAAATAACAACCATTTGATCAAATCTTTCGCTTACTCTGTCATCAGCATTCTGGAGCGAAATCAAAGGAACACAGCGAATTTCATGAAGAGCTTCGAGTCATTTGGAGTAAAAAAGTTTGGCTTACGACGCTACTACAGAAATGCTAGCGAATCATATTATTTAAAGTCGGCGATCGATTTTTTTATCTATACGAGTAAGAGGTGTCCTTCAGGCAGGTAAACAACACTCAGCCAATGTTCATAAGTTAATGAATTCTAGTTTTCTCGGAATTCGACGTTAGAAAAACTATTGCTTAGATAGCTTTTCTATAAGAAATAATCTCTTCTCTAACACTATCAAACTTCGCTAGTGCTATTTTTGTGGTATCCTATGCTTTTTAATTCACAAAATAATGATGTTTAATCAAACAAAGAAGATCTTAACACAATATAAAAGAACTTTTTTCTCTTTGAACGTCAGAGCCAATCTTCTGATTAATTCTATCTCAAGTAACCACTCAAGTAAAAATCTACATTCTAGTCAGCACTGTCTGTTAACATATTCCTGAGATGAATAGTTTGTTATCTTTCGATGTTAAGCATGAGGCTATGCTAAGACGACTAGTTAACTATACGTGTATGTTAACTACTATATATCCTTTTAAATATATAGAATAATAAAATCAGCTAGAACTGTTTCATTCTGTTTATAATTAAGTTATGTAGTAGATTGTCAATGCGTAGCATTTATATAGAAAATATTTGATTACATTATCGTTATATTGATGATGGCATTCTCATGATCGTGTTACACAGTCAGGCAACTAGTCGTTTTTACGATCGATTCATATTCGTGATTATCCCGCATGAGACACTGGACGTAAAAAGTATACTAGGCACATCATCTTCTTTGCAATATTTATATAAAAGAACAAACAGTAAGGATGTAGATATTTATTTTTATATACAATGATAGTATTCGAATCATCCTGGGAATGTTAGACATCAATAAAAAGAATAGTAATACGAACACTATAATTTGCAGAAATGTTTTCTTCGATAAATTTACGTATTTCAATGCTTCAGAATCATTCGGAATAATTGTCAGAAATAAATTTCAACAGCACTGCTCTTGTTTTTTCTGTCCTCATTCGACAGCTAGCATAGATATGACACATGAGACTAGAATTCTATTGCAGTTTCCTTTCTAGCCGTCACTTCAGCTAAAACTAATTTTTACTATTTCGATGTTTCTCTCGGTTATTACACATGAAAGTTATTGTTTTAAGTAAACATGGAAAACATGCTTAATCAGTCATTCAATATTTCTAGATTTAAATATGATGACAGAATCCAACAATACTATTGTTCATTCTCCATTGGAACTCAAAGGTTTAGCTAAATATTTGTCGCTAAGTTGCCATCGTGCACTCGAACGTGGTGTGTGAACATTTTGTGAATTGGGCACTGCTGATATAATGGCTGATTATCAGGCTCCAATAACAGCACAGTAATTATCTCAATTGAATGGAAATACTTGGAATCCAGAGTTTCTCCATCGAGAGCTCGTGACATGATTCGATTAGGCTTAGGCCCATACACGGACAAAGTATCAACATATTTACCATCGCTAATTAAATTTGGTTACAAAAAAATGGAAATGGTTTCGAACAAAGCATTCGGTTGCAGTCTATTTGAGTACATGCAAAAAGAAGAGAATAAAGAATAAAGAATATGAAAAAACAAATTTTCGGTAAGTCAATGGTTGCCTATTCTAATATTGTGACATCATCGATTGTTTCACTTACTGACTTTACTGGCTTCAACAAACTAGTTGACATTGCAGGTGGATTAGGAACATTATTATCATCGATTCTGGAAAAACATCAAAATCTACATGGCATTTTATTTGATTAGCCGCATGTGATTGGCACTGATAAAACGCTCGACCCAAATGAATTTCAACGAGAACAAGTTGAATCCACTCGTTATGAGTTTACTGCAGATGATATTTTTAAACAAGAAACTTTGCCATCAACCGATGCCTATCTATTAAAATATATCCTTCATGATTGAAATGATGAAAAGGCTGTGGAAATACTTCAGTCAACACGTAACGCCAATAAAGATCAAATAGAAAAAACAATAACAGTATTTATCGTCGAAATGGAGATCTTATCAAATCGTAAAGACAACTGGGAAACTCATGCAATGGATCTTGAAATGCTCTGTGGCGTTAGTTCTAAAGAACGAAACCTATCTGAATACATCAGCCTATTGAACAAGAGTGGTTATGAATTGAAAGACTTATACAAAACACAAGGCATTATGTCTATTATTGAGGCAGTGGCAACAACTTTAAATTACCTCATGATTGGCAGAAAAACTTCTTAAAGAACAAATAGCTTCTACAGTAGATTTTATTATTTATTTTGTAGCATATCTATTTTGATTTTATTCTTGCATGGTATCAATGTAAATTGTAACCTAAAAATACTGATCAATGATTCAATGTTGTTGAGTACATTACCAATGAACAATGCATCGGTAAGTGTTTAACGATTCATTGGTTTCGAAGTGGACAATGTCTCGTACTAAATCTGCAAGCGAATATAATTACGTATTAGACTAATTAATATAATACGTAGAATAGTGTATACTAGGTGTTTTTTGTTTAAATATTGAAAGTATGAAAGATTCAATGATATTCTCATTTACTCATTTAGTCAGAAAAAAAATCTAATGACCAACGGTTGATCTAATTTTAATGTAAAATAAATATAGATTTAACAAGTCTGCTAGACAGCAAATAATGCGAGTTTTTTGTTGATAAATTTACATCTACTTATACAATTTTCTTTTTCAAATTCATGCAAGAAATGAATTGATTCTTGTTTGACTACATGAGCGTTTTATAGAAGAGAAAATATTGCATAATATCAAAACCAGATCGATATGTCTTTAGACACATGACAATAAATCTGATATTATTGAGCTTTTCTTTTATTAATCTATATTATTCCTAACCTTATCAAGAACAAAGTAATTCTATAATTCTGATGCTTTCAATGACAAAAAAAAATAAAAGAAATCAAAATAAAGTGATATCACGCACACGCACACACTCGTCAAATTCAATTAGGAAAGTTTCTACGATGATATTTTCTACAATGCTTTCAATATTTTAAATAAAAAAAAGCTAGAAAATCATATGTAAAATTCAAAACCGAGGTATATTCATTAGATTCTTGTAATATCATTTGATAGATGTCGTAAGTTATTGCCAGTATGTTTTTTTTCTGTGGCAGCAAACCGGCCACCTTAAAGAAAACTTAATATACCTTAATGATGGCTGAGTGGATGAGTCATAGAATGAATAAAAAGAAAAGTATTTTTGAAGGTAATAATGGTTGTTTTTTCATGCTGATTTGTTCCATTTTTATTTGAGTTGCCAGCTGTTGCGCTTGTTTATTCTGCTCTTTTATTCCTCTTAGAGATTTTATTTCTCCTTCAAGATATTTCAAAAATAACACAAGTTTAATGGCAGCCGATGAATGTAATATTCGAGTTGTGGCTCGTTTCCGTCCATTGAACGATTCTGAAGAACGAGCTGGCAGTAAAAGTGTTGTTAAATTTCCAGCCGACCAAGAAGAAACTGTTCTTATTAGTGTAAGCTATTTGTTCACTTGAGCTTATTTAGAATTCTTTGATTTTATAGGGTAAAGTTTACGTATTTGATAAAGTATTTCGTCCCGATGCTACACAAGAGAAAGTTTATAATGAAGCAGCAAAAGAAATTGTTAAAGATGTTCTTAGTGGTTATAATGGTACTATATTTGCCTATGGACAAACATCCAGTGGAAAAACTCATACAATGGAGGTAGGAAAATCATATTTATTGAATTAGAAAAACTAAACTCAATGCGATCTAATTATTCTATTAGGGTATAATGGGAAGTGATGGTCAACAGGGTATTGTTCCTCGAATAGTACAAGATATATTCAATCATATTTATACGTTGGATGCTAACCTTCAATTTCAAATAAAAGTTTCTTATTTTGAAATATATCTTGATAAAATTCGTGATCTACTTGATGTATCAAAAACAAATTTAGCTGTACATGAAGATAAAAATCGTGTACCATATGTTAAGGTAAGATTTCAATTATCAAACTATCAAAGTAAATCAATGTTTATTTTTTTTTTATTAAAAACAATTTCAAGGGTGTAACAGAAAGATTTGTTTCATCGCCGGATGAAGTATTTGAAATAATGGAAGAAGGCAAAAACAATCGACATATTGCTGTAACAAATATGAATGAGCATAGTTCACGTTCACATTCAGTTTTTCTTATTCATGTTAAACAAGAAAATGTTGAAAGTGAAAAGAAACTAACTGGAAAACTGTATCTTGTTGATTTAGCTGGCAGTGAAAAAGTATACTAATGAGTTTTTTCTTTCAATATTAATTTTGAATTTTTTTTTTCATTTCAAAGGTTTCGAAAACTGGCGCTGAAGGTCAAGTCCTTGATGAGGCTAAAAATATCAATAAATCTTTATCGGCACTTGGAAATGTTATATCAGCATTAGCCGATGGCACGGTTCGTATTAGTAATTTTAGTTTGCTTTTGTTTTATTACGTGTGTTTTGTTTTTTGAAAATTTAGAAATCCCATGTACCTTATCGTGATTCGAAACTAACACGTATTTTACAAGAATCTCTTGGAGGAAATGCTCGTACGACAATTATTATTTGTTGTTCACCAGCTAGTTTTAATGAATCAGAAACAAAATCAACGCTGGAATTTGGCAAAAGGTTTAATTAAAGAATAACAATGAAAAGACAGCAATTATAACTTGACTTTTGTTTTTCTTCTTATTTTAATTTAGAGCGAAATGTATTAAGAATTCAGTAATGGTTAATGAAGAATTAACTGCTGAAGAATGGAAACGTCGTTGGGAGAAAGAACGTGAAAAAGTAGCACGATTAAAAGGTCAATTGAATCGAGCTGAAATCGAACTTGAACGATGGCGACGAGGTTAATTAGTTGCTTGTTTTTTTATCGCATCGGAAAAAATAATCGAAATATTTCTCTAGGTGAAACAGTAAATAAAGAGGAACAAATTAATTTACAGGAACCTGACGAAACACTTCCTGTTAGTCAATCCATGCCATCTCTGTCAACTGCTGTTTTAGGAGCACCTATTGCAATAGCCACTGGTGTTACTACAATTGCACCTGTTAATTATGAACTTCGTTCTACTAATGCTGATGAATGGGAAAAAGAACGTATTGCACTCTACCAACAATTAGATGAAAAGGTAATTGAAAGTATTTCTTATAAATAAAATCAACTGTAATCTATTTATTCAGGATGATGAAATCAATAATTTAGCTCAAGCTATTGAACGACTTAAATCTCAAACAAATGAACAAGATGAATTATTTAACCAAGCTCGTAAAGATAATGAAAATCTTCAAGCTGAATTAAATCGTCTTCAACAAGAATGTGAATCATCAAAAGAAGAAGTAAAAGAAGTTCTACAAGCACTCGAGGAACTTGCCGTTAATTATGACCAAAAAACGCAAGAAGTTGAAACCAAAAGCAAAGAAAACGAAACACTTACACAAGAACTTGAAACAAAATTGGTTTGTTTATTTTTTTTTCTGGTGCATTTCTTTTTATTCGCAAAAACACATTTATGTCTAGGCTTCATTAAATGGTATTCGAGAAGAATTAGAAAGTCTTCGTGAAGCAACGCAAACACAGCGCAAGCGTTTTCTTGATATGATACTAGTACTGTTGCGTGATGTGGGTGATATTGGTAGTATAATGGGTGGGCAAATGAATGAACAGAAAGTTCGTGTTTGTTTTCTTTCTGACCGAAAAAAAAAGAATTTCTTTTGCTTTAGAAACCTACTATTGAAAATCTTGATCAAGCCGAAGAAGAATTCACTTTAGCTCGTCTTTATTTAAGTAAATTAAAAACAGAAGCAAGAAGTATTAGTGGAGTAAGTTACTGTGGTTTTTTTAATGTTTCGTTTATTGATCTGTTTCAATACAATGTGCGTATTGTTTTTAGCGTTTAAGTGAACTTGAATTAGAAAAAGTCGATCATCAAAAAGGTATTGGATTGAAAGATAAAGAATTAGATGAAACACATTTATTGGTACAACAACACGAAGCTAAAATGCGTTCGATGATCGAATCAATGAAAGAATTAGAAGATAAAAAACGAGCATTAGAACAAACACAAGATTCATTAAATGAAGAGCTAGTTAAACTACGAGCTCAAGGTAAGAAATTTGACACATTAACACGATTACGAAAGCACGAGTGAAGTATTTTCTCAGCCGAAACTAAATATTATAGGAGAATTTTAAGAAACTTCTATAATCAATCCGAACATGATTCAAGTAATATGACTCTCAAGAAGTCGTAGTTATTGACTAAATACAATTTGTTGTGTTTTACTCTTGTTTGAAGTTGACTTAGATTTTCTGCAAATATGCCAAACTTGAAGCTTGAATTCAATTGAAAAAAATTGAAAATTTCAATTTTCAACTTGTAAACCAATAGCATTTTGAAGAATCGTGACTCACACATATATCGCTAAGAGTTGAAAGTTGTACTTTCCTATTTTCAACTGAATTCAGGTTTCAAATTTGACACTACTGATTTTCTGAGGTTGTAACCGGAACTACCACGAAGAAAGTTACAGAAGTCGAAAACCTTGTAAACTACATAGCTCGAATTACAACTCTGTTTCAAGTGAGATTAACATCTTTGGTCCGTTTACTCACGAATATGTAAATAACACTTGATTCGAACTTAAATATCATATTTCACAGTTTAATATTTTTGTTCACGTAGTTATATGAGATATCACGGAGATAGTAATTATACGCTATATTCGGCTGATGCCTTTTGATCGGAAAAGAATCAAGGGACAAACCTAAAAATAGTTGTTAGATAACAAAAGAAACCTTTTTGAATAAGCGGAATAAATTTCTTTCAGGTCGAGTAACTAATTCAGTTGGTTCAACATCTGATGTTCAAAAAGAATTAACTCAACAAATGGAGCAAATAAGCGAACAACACCAAAAACAATTAACAACATTACGTGATGAAATTCGAGCAAAAGAAACACAGATGGAAACATTGAAAGAGTAAATTAATGCAAAGGAGTAAAAACGAATTATTGTTTTTATTTTAATTTTATTTAGTTCTTTACAAAAGTTACAATTATCTTATGAAAAATTATCTGGTGATTTTGAAAAATTGAAAAAAGAAGAAACTGACAAATCAAGTCGACTACAAGAAATGACGTACGTAGAAAGAAAATATAAAAGAAAAACGAATAAATCTCGTTTCGTTTTTCTTTTCTTTTAGTTTACAACAAGAACGTCGTGAACAAGCGAAACAAGATTTGAAAGGTCTTGAAGAAACTGTTGCTAAAGAATTACAAACGCTGCACAATTTACGAAAATTATTCGTTCAAGATTTACAAACACGACTTAAAAAGGTTTTTATTCAATTAACTATTAGAACTCATTTATCAATATTCTTCTTTGCGTAACTATAGTCACAGAAACAACCAGAAGCAGAAGATGATGATATGGGTGGTAGTGTAGCACAAAAGCAGAAAATATCATTTTTAGAAAATAATCTTGATCAATTAACAAAAGTTCATAAACAAGTAATTAATATTTTTTTTTTCGTTTTACAAACTAATCTTCAATGATAAACTCTATTTAGCTTGTTCGCGAAAATGCTGATCTTCGATGTGAATTACCTAAATTAGAAAAACGTCTAAAAGCAACAATGGATCGTGTTAAATCCCTTGAACAAGCATTAAAAGATGCTAAAGAAAGTGCTATGAAAGATCGTAAACGATATCAATGCGAAGTTGATCGTATCAAAGAAGCTGTAAGACAACGTAATATAGCTCGTCGAACCAATGCAGCACAAATTGGTAAAACTTCATTTTATTATTTTTCGAGAAAATTATAAAATTGATTCTGCTTTCTAGTTAAACCAATTCGAGCTGGAGTAAATCCATCGACAACTACTTCAACACCAATTCCAACCATACGCGGCGGTGGTGGTAGTCAAACAATGGATCAATAAAGAACAATTTTTATTTAAACATAATAGCAAACAATATTAATCGGATCTTTTTATGCATATAGATGTTTGCGTTGTTTTTTTCTTTTTAATCCTTTTCTCATGCATTTTGTTTTCTTTCGGAGAGAATTAATATTATTATTATTGTTTGGACTACTTCTATTATTCATATTTGTATGTTTTGACAAAACATTTCCGGAAAAAAGATCTTTATTATTTCTATTCGCATATATTTCCTGATTGTAATCGCGACAAAAATAAAAGTATTTCGTTTGTTTTTTTTCTTCGTCTATCTCATGAGAATAACAGAAAAACATTTCTTTCATCAATCGCCTAGCGAATATGAATTAATCCTGTATTTATAGGTGTTTGAACAGTCCCTCTATTCTGTCTATGTTGAATCTCTGTCCAACTGGATAAATCTGCAAAGGATCTCACGATATTTCTTTTTAACTTTTTTTTGTTTAAAATTCTGTATGTGTGTTTATTCGTCTATCGGTATGTTGGCTGTTGTTTTGAATGTTTTAAGTTAGTGTTCACTTCTTTCGCTTTTTATTTCTTCTTCTTGCTTCCTTTATCATTCACAAGCTATCTTCTTCTTCTTCTATTCTTCATTTTTCACTATCATTTTTATTCGTTTTGGCATTATCTGCAATGGCGATTTTGAACATATATAATTCTTTTAAAAATATCAAAATGAAAAACAAATAACCTCAATCATGAGAATGTTCATTTGGGATTTGAGGATTTGTTTTGATGAGAACCCAAATGTTTTTTTTCTTGTATTAGAAGTGAAAAGAAAATATTCAAATAAGAAATTGATTCTATGAAATCGATGCTCATAAACTAATATGATGAGAAAATTTGGATGTAGTTTTTCTGCAAGAACATATAACTAGTGTTTATATTCGCGTAAAACTAGTTGAATAGTATTTACACATTTGAAATGAATCGGATGTCTAGTTCAATATTGACTTGTCTGTCGTAGTGAATACAATTAATGGGAAATGATATTTATCAATACATGCGATGGTCATTCGATATATTTAAAATAATGAACCTAAATGTGTTTCATCTCTGTAGATTTACCCGTAAAATATTTGTTTGATAGATCTGCACGATCTTTTAATCAAATGAATTGTAAGTTACATGTTTAATAATAGGGTGTACTTTGTTTTTCGGAAGTTTGCACTTCAATTCTATATGCGGAAGGAAGCGTGATCTCAATGAATATAGATTTTATAAATTTGAATTCGTACATGTTAAAGCATGCGTATCAAACATCAACTGATTTTGTGTGGCGTGTTGCCGCATCGAACTTCCTGTTGTCATAGATGAATTTCCCGCGAGGTGCTTTTCATAATTAGTTTATTTCAGTATTGGAATATTCAAGTGCAATAATTCGGCAAGCTTATCATAGAAAAAAACCTATCATATGATTTTAACTTCTTTCATATAATTGAAACGTAAGAACAATCTTATTCAATCAATTACTTTTTTGTATTCGAATCTATAAAAAATATATTTAAAAAATAAAATGTACACATTTCGTAATAATACTTGCTGCTGCTAGTCTCACATAAAGTAATATTATGCCTTAAGAATAGCCTAAAGGCAAAATAAATATATAAAATAGTATCCAAAGCATAATACTCTTCTGCAGCGCGACATGTATTTTTTGTGAAAGTGCTGTTAGTAACTAAGATTAGCTATATAGATTCTTGTTCGTGTGAAATCTAGCATAAACAGAAGAAAAAATATATACAAAAGATTAGAAGAAAGAAAAACAAAGCCTTCTTTAATATGGCACTAACCATTTTCATTTGAGTACAAACTTATTTTTACCAGTTTTATCCTCACGATAGGGATACTCTCGTCAGTGAAACATATTTAGAATTGTTTTGTTGAAATAAATAATAAGGCTTATCAAGACAACTATTTTATTCTTCTTCGATAAATTTAAATTAGATGGAAACTACAGGTCACTATCCCGATGAATTTGAAACAATTCACCCGTTGTGGTTAGGAATAATCATTTTATTTGGTGTTATAATAATCATTTGTATGTCATGTTTTCTACGAAGAAAATATGGTTCATCTATGACTCGTTTATTCAATCGATTGTGCTGTAAATGTGAATCCTACCATGGTATTTAGAATAGCAAAATTTCTCGTTATTAAATTTTTTTTTGTTTTAGATCAAAATCCAAAACAAAAAGCACAGTTAACAATACCTCATATTTATAATAGGGCACCAAGGTTTGTTCCTTCTGCAAATGCATCGCCTCAATTACATAAATTAGTTCGAGCTATTCAACTGGCTAGTGCTGAAAAAAAATTAACTATTCACCAAGTAGATAATAATGAACACCATAATACTGAAAAAGATTCATCTCCAATCGTTGACGACTGTGATCCTTTCGAGGTACAAAAGAAACCCACGCTCATATTTTTCTCCAGATAAATATAGCTCTACGTCTATCTTTAGACATCATCATCATCGTCATCATCTCACAGCATCACTCAACCGCCTCAAGAAATCGATAATCATAGAAATTGTGAAGCAGCTAGAAGACTATATGCAAGTATGCGGCAAACAAGCCAATGCAAAAATTCTACTTCAATTGAAAGTGCCGATCTCGCACCATCATTATTACCACCTAATCCTACAATGAAATCAACTCAAATTCATAAAATTAAAACTTTTTGGACGCCACGTTTCTTTCAATCTATATCATTTATATGCTAATTATAGGTATATATAATTAGCAAGTTGAATAAAAATTTCATCTATAACTTTTCTAATTATTATCGATATACGTCATCTGAATACATAGAAATTTAAAAGATATTTAACACTTTTATGTATATGAATTCAAATCTAAATGAAAATGAATCAAAACGATTTCGTAACTTGAAGATTACTTCACTTGAAATCATATAATTTCAATACTGATATTCTTGTCATACAAATAGAACTGAATTTCTTAGTTATCATATAGCTTTTCATCAATTACGAATGTTCACAGCATTTAACCTTTCTATTTGCTTATATATATACATATATAAACCGACTAAAAAATAATAACCGCAGCAAAAATATTTGATAGAATCAATATTATTTTCTATATTTGTATTTATTTAATCAACACGATGATATCCATTCCATTGATGTTCGGTTTGGAGCCATCGTCATGCAATATGATTGAATAAATCGATGCAAGATGTGCTCAAAGCATGATAGATGATAACATTTTCAACACTTCTATTTCACTGATCTCAATCAACTCACTATAATCTACAATGAAATATACATATTCATAAATCGTTATATTTATTTTTCTCTTCTATCTTTTTTTCTCGCGATACACTATTGACCTATGTTACAGGTCAGTGTAGAAAAAAAAGGAAACAAGCAATAGAGATACACATAAACTCACAGACGAAATCGATAGAGATAATATTATTTAGAAAAAGAAAAAAGAAGAAGAAGAAGAATGATTGCACTGTTTAAATGGTAGGCCAAGATAATTTTTTTTGTTATCTAGAAGGGTTTGCACCAGACATAAAAACGCACGAACAAAAAGCGAATGCTGTTGTATGAAGAGATAATCTTCAATGAGTGTCAAGTATTAACATTGTTCGTATTGGTAGCAGCAACTACTTCAAAATTCTTGACAAGTTCACTAACTGGTCGTCTTTCATACGTGATATCATTATCAGCTGTCGATGGTAAAGTTGCTTGTTGTATTGTTGTTTTTATTGTTTCATTACGTACTTTAACAGTTATGACTTGAACACTTTGTTCCATAATTTTGTCGCCGAGTGTTGGATGATTTGAAAATTCTGATTTAGTAATAACTTTAAGTGTTGTTGTTTGTTCGCCATTATCATCGTGTGATATATTTTGATCAGTTGACTCACTTATGAAACGACGTGATTGTTCACCATCTCGAGACTCGGAATGAGTTATTTCTGTATAGGTCACATTATGACTAGGTGATTTAGCTTTTATATGAGTTTCAACAGGAGTCACGACAGGAGGTGGTGAAAACGCTGCTGATGATGGTTCATCAATGATTGTTCGATGTTCTTCAATTATTTGACTAATTGATGTTGGCATTTTTGTTAATGGTTCAGCAGCTGTTACAGTTGGTACTTGTTGTTCTTCTTCAATTTTCCCCGATGATGTTGATATACCGAGTTTTGTTACGGATGTTGTTAGATGCGGATTTGATAAACCTGTTTGAGTTAAATGTAATAATTCGTCAAGTGAAGTTTGTTTATTTAAATTGTAAACATTTTTCGAAGGAACTTCGTCATTAGCAATAAATGATTTTGGACGATTTTCACTACGTAATTTAGGTTTTGGTTGAGAAATTAAGGATGTTGATGTTGTCATTTTGGTTTCATTTTGTAAAGGCGATGTAAGTCCAAGTGAATACGATGATGGTTGTTTTACTGTTGAAACAATATGCGGAAGAATATTGTTGGATTCAAATTTTTCTCCGTGTTCTTTAATTTCTTTAACGATACGTTCAATTTGTCCTTCGGATTCAGTGTTTGAATTAATATTAAGTAATTTCTCATGGTCTGCTGATGATAATGGATCGGCAATTTCACTACAAGTTGTAACGTCAATTGTATCCATGATTAATTCATTCATATTATCAACAAGTCCAACAAGTTTTGGTTGAATATCAGCTTGATAAATTCCTTGTTCTTTGTCTTCATTATTTTCTTTCGATAATTTTTCACTAACTGTTTTTTGTTGTTCGCCCATTTGACGAACAATCTCAGCTAGATTAGCTGTGCGATCGTTAGTAGCGGGAAGGTCATTTGACAATTTTGTTTGTTCTTGTGAAGTTGATTTTGGTAAAGAAAAGTTCGTTACGCCATATTGAACAATTATAGGCGTTGTTGGTGATTGCGGTTGTTTTGCGGTTTTCTCAACATGTATTTCTTGAACACGCTCTGGCATTGATTGTAAATTTGCTGCTGTTGTTGTCGATGTTTGATAAACAGCTTCAAGTCCTTTGAGAGCAGCATCGATGGAACGCCGAAAATCATCAGAAATTTCATTTTCATCGAGTAACTTTGATGGTATTGGTGGTGGTGGTGGCGGCGGCGGAGGAGGAGCCGTAAACAATGGTACGGCCATTGGCTTTGACTTTGGACGCATTTTAACTTCAGTAACGACAATCGAACGAAGTAGATTTCCATCATGATTTATTGTTTCATCATTTTCATCAAGAATTCGCACATCATAGCCGCCATTTGGATTGGCAAATATAGCAGCTTGTTTACCCTTAAATTCAAACTGATTTTTCTGAATTTAAACTAAAACAATTATCTATTACTTTATAGAATAGAACGCGTGCTTTCTCTAAAGCTTCTTTTAAAGCAATACCTGGTTCACCAGATAAAACTTGTGTATGTTGATTTTCAAGTACCGCTGATTCAATAATAGTCTGGATAAGAAAATTTTTAATTTACCTAAGAGCAAAATTAATTTACTAAAAATTTACTTCGACAGGTGTTGATGGTTTTGCTTGTTCTTCTATGTCAAGTTGAATATTTCCATTTCGTAATTTATCTGCGGTCTGCTTTAATATATCAATTGTATGTGCAACTTTTTTCGGTGATGCTAACGCAATTTCTTTTTGTACAAGTTTGCCTAATTTATTGGTTGATTTTATATCATGACGATCCGATAGTAAGTCAAGTGCTTTGCTAACTATACTTTTATAATCTTCAACTTCATTTGATGGTTGCGCAGTTGATAGTACATCATGAAGTACATATTCATCAGCTTTGGGTCGATTAGTTTTTAACCATGTACGAAAATGATCATTTATTAATTGTTGACCATCATCGGATATTGTTGTTGGAGCTGCGTTTGCAGTTTCTTTCGTTGTTCCGGTTTGATTCGAACTCGTACAGCCCATCGTCGCGTATCAACAAACGATCAATAATAATTACTCATCATTCTTGGCTGTTTTTTTTTCTCTCCTCTTTCTTTTTTAGCGTCTGTGTGTCTACTTGGGCCTGCATATAGAGAGAGAAAAAAACTGAAAGCGATTGTTCTGTCACGTCTCTCCTTCTTTCTTTTCTCTATTCTAATTTCACTACTATCCAATACAGAGTCACTACTATTGCTACTCTTTTATAACTTAGGCCGCTCGGGAAGATGAATGCATGTGTATGAGTTCAATTATTTAGTAAGAAAAAGAACAGAGAAATCTAGGGTTAGTAATGCTGTTCTTTCGGTTTCTCTTTTTTTGGTTTGCTTATGATAAGCAAAGAGTTCAACTACTACTACTATGAGAAGAATGCAAACCAGTATAGTTGATTTATTTCTCGCGTTCTTTTTTTTCTCTTGTTCTCTCTCTCTTTTTTTTACTTCTTTGCATAATCGATTGTAGTATTCTTTTTTTTTATTATTGTCAGTGTTACGTGTTTCAAAGAAGCATCGCTTGTATATGTCATAAAGCAGTAGATTGAATACTGAGTTTTCATTAGCAATTTTCTTTTCTTTTTCTTTTCCTTCTTTTTTGATCGACGTGAAAGCATTTAGAATAGTAGATAACAATAGTTTGCTGATTGGCATGTGTACAATGACATTTTGATGATGATCATTGTAACGAAGTACACTCAATCACCATCGTTCAATATTAATCGTCATTTTTCCGAAATATTTTTTTTTTCAATATGAACATCCGCTCGGAATAATTATTCGCAGCAGAAAAAACAACACACACACACACACAGAGCACGTAAGAAAATTCGATAATTCCCGAATGAATAAAAAACTGAAAAGAAACAGTCTCTCTACGTCGAGGTTTGTGACTTTCATAGCTCTTGTGAATAAATCCAGAGAAAAATAAATTAATAGAAAATAAATGTGAAGTCTTTTCCGTTTTGTCATCTTCTTTTTCTTTTTTTTTCATCGATGCGTTGTTCTGTTGTTCATTTCGAAGAATAGTAAGCAAACAGATTTTATGTAATAATTGCTAAACAAACTTCAATCATAAATTCAATCATATAGGCAAGTCCTTTTTTCAAGAATATGCTAACTATGAGAAAAAAAATCGAGAATGAGTAAGTGACATTTCGGATGCAGAATAGTAAAGAGATGTCAGAAAATTCAATTTTCTTATTGCAGACTAATGAACGTGGAATAACCGTTCCGCTTTCTTCTGTCCTTTACTCTCTCTCTCTCTCTCTCTCTCTCTCTCTCGCTATCTATATATATTGATTCGATTAAACACATCCCCATGTAGTCACTGACTCACTCGAGAATCGACCTAGTAATACTAGGGATGTCGTTTTCTAATAATAAAGATTAGTTTGGTTTCCTACGTAGCGATGCACTAACCGTCAATATAGACGAATCCCATTGGGAATCTAATGCAACATTGTGTTAGAAGATCTCATATGTTAATATTAAAAAAAAAATACATGTGTGTGTATATTTATCTATATTATGAATAGAAAGAAGACTAACAAAAGTTATTTAAGTTAATCAATAAGAAACAACGAAAGAAAACATGCAAGGCTATTTTTCGCATAAAAATGCAATGATCATGATGCAGAAAAGGCCAACATATAGAAAAGACTATCTTCTATTCATGAAATAGTATGCATAATCATTAAATATGCCATCAATTATTCATATATGCATCCGTGCTTGACTAACAAACCAACGAATTTTGTTTCCACTGAGAAATGGGATAGATAAACTATAACTAGAAAAAGAATGGGATATAAATAGACATCATTGAACAACAAAAGAAAATAAATGGTGAATGGCAATATACTAGAAGTACGAAATCACAAGACAATAAAAAATGTTGTCTAATAAAATTATGCTATCCGAAAGAATATATAAAAATGAACGTTTTTATTTTATTTATTATTAAAAGTATTCACGTTCCTATATGTCAATGTTAGTTTTTAATCATAAATATAAACTCAACTGAAATCTGATAGTATGATATGGAATTTCAATGGAACTAATTTTAACACCAGATATTTTATTTTCAAAATCAAAAAATTTATCAAAATCGATTCATTTTTCCGAGACATTCTTATGGTGTGATCGGACTGACTATGGAAGATATGATTTATTTAATAGTTGTTGAAATGGTCCGAACACAAGATTATTTAATTAGAAAAATATCTCAAGGACTAGATGATCAAGAATGATCTGGCTTTCGTCAGATAATTGTCCACACTTTCAAGTGTACTAATAGAGTAAAAGCTTTCAAAACATTTTCTATTGATTCATTTAATATTTATAGATCATAAAATAGTACGCTACCCTTTTTCATTATTAAAAAAATAACTATGCAACTGCTCGTTTTTAACTGGAAACTATTTTTTCTCATTATCATCTGAAAAACTAACGATTTCATATGAAGTACCGATAATTTTATTTGCATGAGTAGTAGGAGTTTCATGCTAGAAATGTGTCTTAGTTGTCCCACATGGGCGCATTAATCAACGATAAAGCTGATTGTATATTTTTACTCACGCAATGAAGCCGGTATAACAAGCTATTCTAACGGTGTGAATTTTTAGGGGATCTTTTTTGAACGAAAAAATTCTTATAGATGCAATGAAAAGTGACTATATCACTCAACCTATATGACATCGCTACATTAATTATGTTCAGAGAGAAAGGTTAACCATAGTTTCAACAAAAGTCTCTTGGCAAGTCTCATTAAAAGTGTCTGTGTAGATGACGATATATTAAGATTTATTTTAATAGATCTTTTCTTGATGAAATAAATAAATATCAAGTTAATTGCTCGTAGAAAGTTACGCTTACTGATTATCCTTACGATTTATGAAGTAATAAAGCTATTCAATGTAAGTGATGTAATCGCTTTTAACTGCAAACTTAAAAGTGTTGTATAGAAAAAAGATTACCTACAAATCCACAGTTGTTAAAGCATTTTTTAAATAATTACTTTCCTGAGTAATTGACTCAAATCGTAGAAAAGCGTTTATCTGTAATTGGTGGATATCTAGGCGAAGACCAATTCGAAGAGAATACCTCGTGAAATCTGTACCGCTCTTTCACATGATGCAATAAAAAAATCAAGGTGTATAAACTTTATTTGGCGTATTTCTTCTGTCATCTTCTTACGGGCAGCTTCCGACAGTGCTAAAAAATACGAGTATTTATAATCTTCTATAGAAACATAACCAGAAAGTAAAAGACTCGTTAAATAAAAGGCAGAACGTTCTATTAAATTTGATATTATAAAGGAAATTATCACTTATAATTGACTTCAAATAGTTAATAGAAATAAGTGGAAGACTAGTTTTCGTTACGACACAATATAAAACCATACCTTAATGTTTCTGCAATTCTTGAGGCATTTAAATGAAAAATTTTAAAAGTATAAATTCCGATGTGTTCCAATATTTCTGTCTTTGTTTCAACGTCAGTAAGTTTAAGTCATCATTGGATTGAAAGAAATATATGAAAATTATCTGCATTAATTAATTTTTCTATGCTATTAAGAGTGTAAAAATTTCATTAAAAATTAAAAACAACTTTGAACTTGCTCGTTATCAAGGAATTTCTCAAAAGAATAAGTATACCGTCATTGAACATGAGTCCTTCATTTTTTTTGTTTTTCTATAGAAAATTATAGTATTACTCTATTGACCACCATAAGTCAACTAGAGTTATTGTAGTACTCGAAAAGATAAATATAGATTGTTAGAAATTGATTAGCACCTTGTAGCAGTATTAAACATGTTTTGTGATAAAAATAACGAATAATAAATGGATGTTATAACAATAAACAGGAAAACCTCTAATATGCCAACATAGAGTAATATGTCAAGTCAATAGCGAACTGAGACTATTTCCATTATATATTGCACATTAATCTATCTACATATTTTCTGTTTACTTGCTGTTTTCGAGAAATAATATAATCGAATGTATCTGCAAACATGATGTCATTGCGGTGTTTTGATAAGACGGTATTGATTATTTCTTGATTAAATGTTTAGGATACGCGGGAATGTTTTCGTCATATAACGGATGCAAAAAAATTGAATCATTCACAGCCCACGAAAAAGTAAAATAATATTTTCTGATGCAACTATTGTAATCAATTAGTTTCCTTAGAACTCGTTTGCTATTCTTAGTATGAAACCGATCACTGCAAAACGAAACGCAAGTGATGTTGAGATACTGATGTTCCTTATGGTAGATTGTTTTATGGTTCGATAGAAAGATGCTCACTGATATGTTAAGAAATCTGAAATGACACGAGCAAAGTTCCTGTGTAGTACAAAAAATATTCTAAACGACAATTAGCACAGAATAAAAAGATATCATTTGATAGTAATTAACAACACCTTTATTTTCATTTAAATAATCTAAATCCTCTAGGTATTCCCTCATATGTTATCACAATTTCCGATAATAATTAAAAACCCGTTTTCCTTGCCTATTTATTACCTATCAATATTATGTTCTAATGTTCGCGGGTGTTATTTTTAGCTTGATAAGATAACCTTCGCATACGACTTATTCTCTGATCAATTTTTTCACTTACAACTAAGCTCCAGGAAACGATATCAAGAAAATCCAGATTTTCCCCCTATAACTTTTAAACATTCAACATATATTTTGCACACATTAATAAATAGCACAAGTGATCTATTTCTGAATGATTCAATGGGAAATATTATCAGGCACTATGCAACACGATACAAGTACTCATTTTCGTCGACATACTGCAACACTGTCATGACCTTTTGTGCATACGCTATTAAGAAATCATTAATCTTTTTCACTATCTCACACACTTCATTCATGAAAACTTGGTTTCATATATGGAAAGCGAGCATTATTTTACAACCAGTAACATCATCAAACCTGAAAAAACAGTGTTATCAGCATGTTTCAAGTAATTGACAAAATCAATCACATCCAAGAGCCTTTCACTTCATTCAATAAAATAGCAAATCACATCGAAAACTCAACGTTATTGTTGAAATGATTTTATTCAATATTTCAAAACCTTTTAACATTTATAATAGTGACGAATTTCAGCAATATCAATTACACTAAGTTTTTCACGTTGACCGATCACTGTATTAGGTTTAATTGGTGTAATGGTTGGTTTACCATTCTTGGTGAAGTAGTCTGTTCCGTAGTGCATCAAACTACCATAATCATAGTCGAATCCTTGTAATTCTACGTCTGAGCCGGCGGCGTATTTTTTAAAGTTGTGTTCCTAAACAAAACAATAAGAAATCGATACTATGATAAAAGAGCTTCTCACTCACTTGATTTTCAATAATATTCTCTGTATGAATTTTAAGGAATGAATCTCGATCTGGTCGTGATTGTTCATGGAAAAAGCCTTAGAAAAGTACGAAATAAATTCAATGAGATTCAATCATTCAACTAAATTTTACCAAGAACATGAGTAAGTTCATGTTGAATAGTACCACTGTGGAAACATCCGTTTTGTTGTAAGGTGAGTATTTTTTGATAGTTTGTACCATATCCGACCTGAATCACGAGAAGATAATTTTCGATGTTTTTCTTTTGTTTTACTTACATGGGCACTGCATCCATTGCCATATTGGACTTTAAGTATTTCTTTATCACCATTTTGAGATGGTCGAAAGAAGACACAAGCTGTTCGTCCTGTTCCATTTACTTGTGGTGTTCCAACATCGTACATCAATTTATTCATGGCGTCCGTAATCGTCTTTCTGTCGTTGGCATCTATTATTCAATTATACAATGAGACGACAAGGCTTTTGTTTTTTTTGTTTTTTTTTGTAAATTTACTTGAAATAGCTGATATATCATACGGAATTATTCTGTTAGGCCAACGACGCGCGGCTCCAAAAATAGCAACACCGCGGCTTGCATCGAAATCTGGTGCAAATTTCATATCACCTTCATATCCACCACCTGTAATTTAGAAATGCTAGTACATGAAATAAAGAATTATAAAGATCTATCTTTACCAAGCCATTCTGGATTGGCACCTTTGTTTTCAACCTAATGCATGAAAGAATGTAGAAGGATTTTATAATAAGAATGAAATATTTACAGGTAAACTGTTGACAGCGAATGCAAAAGAAACGATAAAGACAGCCAAAAACATGATTGATTTTCAATCTACTGAATATTTAGGAGCTATTAGTTACTATATATATACCCCTTTGTTGTTGTTAGATAGTTTCATTGTTAGGCTTCAACGGATTAAACTTTTAATTGAATTGGAAGTAAATTTTGTTTTTTCTGAACTATCATATTGCTTTTATTTTCACAGAATAACAGTGTATTTAATAATATTCTATTAAAAGTAATCTTCTAATTTTAATGGCATGCATTCTCCGCCTCGTATTTCAAAGATATCGCCATGGATCATGATGATAGACAGTCTGTTTTTGAAAGTCGTAGAACGGAATGGATCCACGAGAAACTTGATATTGAAAACAATTATCTTGTTTTTTAGAGCCTTCCTCTTTTTTCTTGTATTATATTTTTAATATACATTCAAGAAAGAGACAAAAAATAGTAGAAACGATACGCGAATGCGATGACATGCAACAACAGAAATCAAGAGAAAAAACAATGGCAGAAGCAGCATGAGCAAAACAAAAGCCGGCTAAGCGAAGAAACAATTAATAAGTATCAAATAGGTTGTTGTGGTCTTGTGCTTTTAAATATGTATAAGGATACATATCAAATGGAACGTTGGCGAAGAGAATCATGAAGTAAATAGACATCTCGTACATTGATATATAACACAGAAGAGGAAACAAACAAAGCTGTGAGTGTTTGTTACGTACAATAGTCACATACAAAAATAAGGGCACAATGCAGAGAGAGAGAGAGAGAGAGAGAGAGAGAAAACACTATGTACGCATGACAAGTAATTAAATAATAAATGAACTCGTAAATAAGACAGCAAAACCGGTTTTTGTTCGTTTCGAAAGAATAACATTAGATTTTATTCTTCTGAACTATCATCATCCGATGTTGAACCAATCGTTTCAAGTTGAAGTAGATCTCGAATGTTAACACATGGTAATGAACGACGATGTAACGCTTTTATCAGTGTTGCCGATCGATTATCTATCTAAAGAATTATACAAAAACATTTATTTCAGGATTTTATATAAAACCCTTTTGAATTTACTTTTGGTAACATTTTGATCCGTTTTTCATATTCTTCTTTATCTTTATCTGTTATTTCATAGGCCATATCATTATTCCAGCCCATACGTATTAATAAACTAAATCATGATTGAAATAAAAATAAAATTTGAATATATATTTACATCGAATTTTTACTCACTCTTTTTCCTCTGGTGTCTCAGGTACAGTTGATAATGATAAAGAATCTTTTGTTGGTTTCAAATTTCCAATGGTTTTAGATGTTTCATTTAAAGGATGTTTATTTTCATTATTGGAATTATTTTTTAAGGAATTTAGAAAATTACGTTTATCTAAATTTTTTGTGTGTGTTATATAACTTGTGTGTAAATCATGAATCATATTTCGAGTATTTGTATTTAAATTATTTGGTGTGCTTAATAAATGGTCACGTCGTGTTGTAAGACAATCTGATCCAAATGAATGAGAAAATTTTCCATGATTTGAAATGCGAAATTTAGACGAGGCATTATTCCATATTGACGATTGTTCTTTATTATTTAGTGACGAATCACGTCCATTTAGCGATGGCTAAAACGAATAGAATAAACTACTTTTGTATTACTATTGAAAATGTATTTACAAAATCTTTTTCAATTTGATCAAATTTATTTTCGTCAGTTTTTGTTGTTGGATCGCAATGCTTTCCTTCGTGTTTACCATTTGGTAGATGTTCTAAAGTAATGCCATTTGTTAAATTATTATGATTGTCTGTTGATATATGACCATTGTTGTAGGACAATGTTGATGTGGAATGTAAACGGCGTTGACGATTTGTGTTTGAATTTAACAATGAACGATTATTTGACGTATATGAATGATCGTTTGCATTGAATTCAGAACCCTAAACATAAAGTAAATGATAACGATTGCTTTTTCTCTTATAGTTAAAAACATCTGTATCATTGTTCGCATAGAAATTATTTTAAAACTTATTTCATGACCCATCTTTTTGTTTTTGTTTTTGTTTTATTTAGACAATTGCTGAATACTGTACAACAATATAAAAATATGGTTTATTACTAATTTTAATTTAGATATTAGTGTAAGATTATGAGAAGTGATTATAATTTGAATACTCGAAAACTTTGTCAGTACATTCATTTTTTTTGGCGAAGACTTACTTTTTTTGAAAATGAATTTAATAATCGTTCTCGGCTAAATGAACGACGAGATTGAAACGAAAAGAAATTTTCTGATTGTTCATCTAAATCTATTGATGATTGTTGTTCATTGGAGTTTTTTTGATATTGTCCTAAAATTACAATCAAAAATTAATTTCATATCTACGATATTTATCAAAAGCAAAGCCCTGTCTTCAATCAGATCCATTAGATATTGCTTAAACTATTCGGATGATAATCTTCTAAAAATCGACTTATCATCGACTAGTATTTCTAAGTTATTATCCTTCAGATCCAATACTAACTCAACCGGTCCTATCTTAAAGACAGTCTTTTTTAATCGTTTTTTTTTATAGTAAAAATCATTTCTGGCAGCTCATTTTTATAAACAGTTATTTGAGATGAATAATATCATTGCTTACCTTTTAATATCGATGCATTGATTTCATTTTGTAATTGACGTTTATCATTGTTATTACTTGATCGATCGATATTCAATTTCTGATTACCATTTGATTTCTATAGAAAAGAATCAAATGAGTAAATAAATCAAGAAAAAAACAAAGATGGATTAAAAAATATACATCTGAACTGGAAATTTTCATCCATGCTGGCATAAAGCCACTTATGGCCATCACATTGCGGCAAAGGGTAATTTACTTATATAGATGATAATACCAATTGATAGTGGGAAGAAAAGAAACACGATGATTGTTAAAACATAAAATTGTTCATCGATGGAATTATGCTTGTTGTCGTTTATTTTTGTTAAAATATTGTGAAATAAATAAAACTAAGAAAGTTTTAAAAACATTATCATTATTAATAAATTATTTCATTAACAATATATGTTGCAAAGAGCCTAATGAACTATATGTTGTACATTAAAAATAAGTACAGCAATAATAATAATATATGAACTCACACATTGATAGATGATCAATACAATGAAAAAAAAATTTTATTTAGTTAATAAATTTAAAAAATACAAAATAAAATATTTTATCTTGTTAAAATTCATCCTTTTTTTCGTATTTATTAATCATAAAAATGATTACTAGCGACATGCACCAATCCAGTGTTCGTTGCTTGGTAACGAAGAATGTTAATGGCGAATTCGTAGTTAAAACAATGAGTTTTTATTTATTTTATGCTACATTTATCGTAACTTTTCTAGGAATAGAAACCAATGGACGATCTACGTTTTCGTTGGTTAAAGGATTCTATTTATACGATATTAAATATTAATGAAGTTGATCCAGCTTTTGAAGATTTTTTGGAGGGCGAAGATGGTGCGCATGAATTAATGATTGCGAAATTTCTTAATCAAGCTGATTCAAATGTTGATGATGAAAATGCTTTACTATTCTACAAAGAAGTATTCGAAGAACTACGCGAAGAGCAAGTTGAAATAAGTAATCAATAAAATTATAAAGAAAAACAGCGGACATGTTTTTTTTATAAATTTACTTTTTAGCCGAAGAAGAATGGATTGAAGAACAACTTGCGATGAATCCTGATTTCGATCCCAATGAAGAAGGAACAGTGACAAATATTGGAAGTGATGAACAGCAATCATCAGCTGTAAATGATGCAGCACCAGCAGTTCCAAATGGAACCTCAGATAATGTTGAACAAACAGGTGATGGAGCCAATGGAGAGGATGGAAATAAAACGCCTGAAGAAAAACAAAAACCAAAACGATTTGTAAATTCAAAACAAAATTCTTTGCTACACTATCACTATTATGTATTTATGTTTAGCGAAATGAACTTGTTAAATATCTTCGTACACTCCTTTATACATGTCGTGATTTTTATCCATCAAATTTAAGTAAAAAGAATTGTGTCTATTTTTTACGTACCACATCAGGAACAGTACATACACCGTCATCAATAGAAGATGCTGATAAAACCATGGTTAAATATTTTGATTATGGTTTATTGAATGGACATACACTCCATTTACTTGCTAATACACTGAATAAAGTAAGAAGCAATTTTGATTGTTAAGATTGAGATTTTTGAAATTCAAGGTCGATAGTAAAATGATGAGAAAAATATTTTAGAAGATCTATAGTTGTTTGTATAAACATGAAAATAGACGATAGTTTAAGTAGACCTGTTCATCAAATAGTTACTTTGATCAGTATCGATTGTTATTCATTGATGTACCGGAACCATCTGTACTATGGAGATATGACAGCAATTTAGTAACGACGAATGCCAATATCAACAATGGCTCAGTATAGTTTTAATAGCTTTTAGTTTTAACATCATTACACTGTTTATTCCTCATCATCATTCTTAATAATTAGTGAACGTATGAGGTCATCAAAATATCGTAGTTTTAGGAGTAATGTCTAAAGAAACGCTTCATCATAAAGATTTGTTTGGTCACTACAATATGAATTATTAGACGTCTTCGTTCATCTGGGAAACTACTCTTTTCAAAATATGATTTTAAATTATATATATATATATATATTGCTTGTTTAAGGTTTATAATCCATTATTAACATATCAAAATGATATTGAAGAGCCCGATGTGAGTGAGAAACATCGAGCTTCATCATCGAAGAGCGGAAGTAAAAAAGGTGACGGCCCAACAGAAAAAGAATCAGAAGAAACTGAAGAAGAAAAACGAAATGAAAAAGTTTGATAAAAATTTTTTATTTTCTATTCAGGTTTTTGTATGTGAATATTGATTGTTTAGCGTCGTCAACATGAACTCGAATTACGAGCTGTGTTACGTGATGAATTTTTGATTCAATTACAAAAATTTCTTAATCAAATTGGTCTCACACTTCGTCAACTAGAAGGTAAAAAATTCATTGTTAGTTAAAGACAAGAAATTTTATTTATATATTTTTATAGGCGAAGTACGTCTTGAATTACCACCACAATTCGATGTTACTAAACTTGTACGATCAAATAAAGATGCAATTGAACATGCCGAAAGTGTTGTATATAAATGGAACGGAGAAATTCGCGAAGCACTTGAGCGTGAATTGAAAAAAGTAAAAACAAAAATAAATAGAACTATCGAATAATTAGAAAAAATATCTTTGCAGACACCACAAACAGCTGGCCCATTAGGCGAAATCGATTGGTGGCGTGAACGAAATATTTCGTTGAGTAGTTTATTTGAACAAACCAAACAGGAACATGTTGAACAAGTACTTGAAAAACTTGAAACAGCAGAAAATGCAGCACCATCATCATTTCGTGATACTCGAACTGATCTATCAAAATATTATCTAGAAGCTAAAGACAATGTCAAGTAAGCTTTAGCTAATAGCTAAATAATTTCAAAAAAGAAAAACACAGAATTTCATACGAGATTATAGTTCATAAAATGATATTCTAGCTTCATTCCTAAACAATCGATATTAGGCTAAATACTTATCTAGTTGCTTGAAATTAGTAGGAAATTCTATTTTCATGCTATTGAATGGAGACATTTAAAAGACAAGGGTCAAAGATAATCCCCTGCGCAATCAAAAGTTTTCTCTGAGCTCTGATCCCTAAAAATTTATTATTTCATTTGCTTAGATTTTTGTCAACACTTGAACGTCATTTTAAAAATGTAACACATGGCGCAACATTTCGTGTTGTTACTGAAACTATACCAAAAATGATGAGTGCATTACGTATGGTTTGGATTATATCTCGACATTATAACCGAGATGAACGTATGGTACCATTAATGGAACGTATTGCTAATCAATTGTGTGATCGTGTTGCACGTAGTATTAATGTTCGAACATTATTTAGGTATTTAGATTATATTTTAATTTATGTAAACTCTAAAGGTTTTTAAATTTAAATTTTCTAGTTATCAACCTAGTGAAATTATTGAAAAATGTACAGAAGCTAAAGACATGTTAGAACGTTGGAAACAGGTAACAGTAGAAACATTTAAAAATCTTAATCTTCTACTTTTCTGTTCAATAGGCTTATTATGATGTTCGAGCTGAAATTGAACAATCTGGCCGTGATTCACGATGGGAATTTGATAATAAACGTTTGTTTCGATTAACTGATCATATGGCTATTATTTGCAATGATTTCATTGCAATCGCAAAAGAACTTGAGCAATTTTATAATATATTTACGCCTGAGCTTAAATCTGTTACAGGAAAACCACATAAAATAAATGAAATTCTTGATCGTGTACATAAAGTTTTAGAATTAATTGAACATGTAAATATTAACTGATAACATGAAGTTTACTTTAATGAGCAATGCTTTCTTTTCTTTTTCTCTCGGAAGGCTCCTTGCGATCCATTTCGTATTGAAGATCTTGATAAATGGAAAATGGTATCGGCCAATTATGGTCAACAAATTGAAGAAATCGATGAACAAACAAAAAGTTTCATTTCAGAATCATTTAAAAGCTTACGGTAAACAAAAATTTTACAAAGAAATAATAGAATTTCTAGTTTAACAATTAGGAACTGATCAAAGCGAAAATGAGTTCGAATATATAATGAATAGACGTGTAAACATTTGATGATAGTGGATATAATGATAAATAAAGGGTACTGTGATAGTTCAGAAAAATGACTCGATTTTTATCGAAAATAGACTCGAAGTGTGAGGGTAGCCATTTCTAAATGATTTTTTTTTAAATTTTCCGGTGCAACTAGATGTCGCCATTGGAATAATCTGTATAATATGCGACTTACGGAAGACAAACAATCTGAACAATATGTCTCGTAGTTTCAGGATATTTATCCTATTTCGATTGTAATACTTTATTGAGTTGACTAAAATGATGTTCCATGAACTTTAACACATAACCATCCGATGACTAAATTTAAAATTCAAGAATCATCATCTATACAGAACATTCTTCCTATACTTCTTCTATGGAAAAATATGTTAATATTCTCTGTCGAAGTCTGATAGTCACACCTCTATAACAGGCGGATCCTATTGTGAAATAGCATTTTTTCATAAGCCGTTATTTTATATTGAAATTCAATTTTTAGCTCGGCCGAAAGTGCATTTGATATGTTATTGAAATTTGAAAAGAATAATACTCGTATGACTATTCAAGATGAAATGCACAAACGATTCAATGATATTTTACGACAATATGATAATGAAGTAAATAGAAATTTTCTAAATATCATTTAATTTTGTTGTTAAATTTAGGTCACCGAGATCAATAGTATCTTTCAACATAGAAAAACAAATCCACCTGTTAATAAAAATCAACCGCCTTTCTCTGGTGCTATTGCTTGGAGTCGTTCATTATTTCGACGTATTAAACATACAATGTTACGTTTACATACAAAAGAAGCTTTGATGCAAACAGAACTTGGCAAACAAGTAGATTTTTTTTTAAATTACTCAATGAACTCTTTCATTTCTTTATTTTAAAATAGATTAAAGGCTACTATCTTCGTGTAGCAAGGGAAATGAAAGCATTTGAAGATGGAAAATTCAATGAATGGAAATTGCGTACAGAACAAATTTTGCCAACATTACAAAAACGAAATGTTCTCAGAGAACTACCACCCGGAGAAAGTGAGTTTATTCAGAGATAAAAAAATTAATTTCATAAAATTTTTAACGTTTATTAATAGATGATAATCCTCTTACACCTCGATATGCAATCGATTTCGATCCACTACTTAATGAAATGATGACTGAAGCCAGATATCTTGAACAATTTGATTATATTCTACCAGAAAATATTCGACATTTAGCATTAAGCGTAAGTAAACCAAAGCTTAAGTATTTTTTAATTTAAAATTTGAATCATACTCTTGATTTCGAGTTAAATGATCACTTTTGATAAAAAAATCTATTTCGTAAGATTCGTTCAATGGTAATTGTTAGCAAGAATATGAAGACATATTTTGCATAGCACATAGGACTCCTATTAGAATTGTTCGACTCAATAACTACAGCAAAATCAGTTCGAATAATCTCTACTGTAATCCATTTTCTAGCTTTTATTTGAAGCTTGTCGGGAATATTCAGCATGCCTATGATAGTTTCATCATTTTCCTTCATCGAAGTACATTCGATGCAGGAAGATTTATGAAGTTTTCGGTTTGATCGATCTTGATAGACAATACTTTTAACTCCACAATAAATTGTATTCGACGCTTGTTCGTCAATTTCTTTTAGAAGAGAATTTGATTTTAAAACTGCTCTAGACTTATGTATGCCACTAAGCTACTTATACGTATGATTGATTATAAAGATAGATAATGAGAATCAATTTTGTTTTGAATTAATGAAACGCTATTTAAAGAAGCTAATAATAGAAGAAAATGAATTCTGACCTAATCTGATCGCCTTACTCAAAATTTTGAACAGAATAGAAGATACGTCGTATATTCACCGAAAGATCTTTGTCGCTTCAGGATCCTTTTTTTTGCACTGGAATTAATTATTAATTCTAGTAGGTTTTTGATTGTGCTGTTACTTTGACTAAACTATAATTCATGTAAATTTCTAGAAGAAAAAACTATTGCCTTTTATTCTCAACGATTTGTATCATACACATCAAATTTTAAAATACTTTCTAATGAATAGGAAGAAAAAATGAAACTATTATCGACACAACTAAAAATCGTGCTCAAGAACTACCATCGCCTTGTTGAATCACTTGAGCCTCATGAACAATCATTACTTGAAGAGAATCTACGACATTTGAAGCGTCATATGCAAACAGGAACTCAACGTCTACCGTGGACATCAACTAATCATGAGAAATTTATAACTGTCATATCTGAAGTAAAATTTTTGACATAAAAAAAAACAAAACAAATACTCTAAAGTGAAATATTTTTTCTCATTTATTAGCTTATTTCCAAACTCGATTCAACAATAAATCAAATCAAAAAGAATTCACAAGATATTCATGTTTTTCTTGATGAAATACGTCAATGTAATCTTTTCCGTGAACCACCACCCAATGTTGATGGTTCGCTTGTTCATTGCAAAGTAGTTAAAAGCAATTTGTTAGGTTTTTTTACTCCTGAAGTCTTATATTATTCTTTAGGAGTACTTTGAATCTGTTGAAAATCGTCGACGACAAGATGCAATTGAGTTACAGAAAAAATACAAACTTATTGGTCCACTAATAGCAAAAGTTGAAGGACTTGTTTTCAGTACAAACACATCTCAATCGCCTAAGATGAAAGTTTATTATGCTTATTGGGAAAGACAAATATTTTCAGCTTTATCTGATGTAAATCATTATTTTTTGAAAAAAATTTGTTTTTCTATTAATTTTCATTTTTGTTTTTATTAGCTTGTCATGGAGAATTTGAAATCATTACGTGACACATTAGAACATGGTTCAAAACCATTGTTTCAGGTAGATGCTTTACTTGTTGTGCCTAATGTAGCTATGCAACCAAACCAAAATGAAATTATGAAATTATTCGGTCAATCAATGCGAGATTGTGTTGAGATGTAAGTTCAAAGTATATTTTTGTAGAAAAATAGGTAAAATTTTGTTCTAAAGTCGATAATAATCGCATTTTAAAGCATGCAATATATCGTTTTTTATTTTTCAAAAATACATCTACACAGTGTAGTTATTTTTTCATTATGAATGTATTGATGGCTGCGCTCGTTGACTCTTTCTTTCGTTTTCTCACTTTTTCTCGCTGTCGTTTCTACTTGTTTTTGACATTGCCATACCATCGCTAAGCAACATCCTCTCCTAGATGAAATATGAACAACCGTTCTCTTCTCATCCATGTATATATATATATAAGAGTTGCTCTGTTCCGTTCTCGTTTAACGATAGAGAATAATAAAAAAAAAGTACTATAAAAACAAAGAAAAAATCTTGAAGTTGAAGTCATAGTGAAGAAAAATAAAATTATATTCTGTCTAACGACAGAAATAAACAACAATTAGTTTTTATTTGGCGACAATCAATTAGAGATCGGGTTTAATGCATTTAAAATAAAGTAAAACCAACAAACAATATTCCCATGAATTTCAATCATCAAAAATTACTTTCTTGTCTTCATGTTGGCCAAAAAGTTGACATACAAAGATCAAATGGTCGTATTCATCAAGCTGTTATAATAAAAGTTAACAATGCAGCAAAAACTCTTACAGTTGAATGGGAAGAAAAGAATGAAGGTAAAGGAAAAGAAGTCGATCTCAGTGACATTGTTCAATTGAATCCAAACCTATTCACTTCGGTTACACATGGTACAACTCATAATGGTGCTATTAATCACGATCAAAATAATAATAATAATAATAATAGTGATCATTATCTATCTGACAATGCACTAGGGCATACAACAACGCGTCGTGCAAAACAAGATCATGATAATTTTCGAAAACAACAACTACAACCAGCGCCAACTTCTCGGCCTGGAGCCATTTCAAATGCAGGTACATTAAATATGACTAATGATATATCGCCGCATCGACAACAAAATACATATATGGCAACAACTGACACAAATAAATCAAAGGTTGTTAAAGAAATTGAACGCATAGCAGCCAATCGTGTACAACGACGCGTTAGACATGAAGAACGTCGCCAAAAATTATCTGAAGTTGATCATTCAATACCAGCATGGGAATTTCATGCAATGATTACTGAATATAGACAACAACTTGAAATTAAACCATTGACTATAAATGATCCACAAAAAGATTTAAAAATATGTGTTTGTATACGTAAAAGACCAATAACAAAGAAAGAATTAAATAAAAAAGACATTGATGTGTTAACAATACCAAATAAAGATCATGTTATTGTACATTTACCAAAGGTTAAAGTTGATCTAACAAAATATATTGACAATCAAAAATTTCGTTTTGATTACACATTTCGTGAATCGTGCAACAATGATATTGTTTATCATTTTACTGCAAAACCTTTAGTACAATTATTATTTCTAGGATATAGTCCTATGGTTTTTGCTTACGGACAAACCGGTGCTGGTAAGTTGATTATTTAATTAATTAAAATTAATCGATTTATTTATTTATTGTCTTTCAGGTAAAACATTTACAATGGGCGGAGATTTAAGTCAACGAGATGTTGATTTTTCTAAAGGCATATATGCATTAACAGCCAATGATATATTTATTCATTTAAATAAACCTCCCAATAAAGGTCAATATAATGTTTATTGTACATTTTTCGAAATCTATTGTACCAAAGTATTTGATTTATTTAATGAAAAAAAGCGCTTACGCGTATTAGAAGATCATAAAAATTTAGTACAAGTTGTTGGTAAAAAAGAAGAACATGTTGAAACAGTCGATCAAGTCATGGCATTAATAAGACGTGGAATGAGTGTACGTACATCTGGTACAACATCAGCTAATGAACACTCATCACGATCGCATGCGATTTTTCAAATGACATTGAAGAAAAAAACTGCCAATAAAGAATATGGAAAAATTTCGTTAATTGATTTAGCTGGAAGTGAACGTGGGCGGGACACACAAACAACCGACAAAATTACATTAATGGAAGGTGCTCAAATAAATAAATCCTTATTAACATTAAAAGAATGTATACGTTCATTGGGTCGAAATGCTGAACATATTCCATTTCGAGGTTCAACATTAACAAAAGTTTTACGCGATTCATTTATAGGTGAAAAATCTAAAGTCTGTATGATAGCTATGATATCACCGGGTAGTAGTGATGTTGAACATACGTTAAATACATTACGTTATGCTGATCGTGTTAAAGAATTAAATGTTGATGAGCTTATGCAACGTGGTGCCGAAATTCATCAAAAACAAAACCTAAATGATCCCTATGATCTGCACATACCGGATGATGACGACGACGATGATGATGATGATCATCTCAATGAATCTATAATTCAACCATTAGTATCATCTCGTCCGAATGTACGAAAAGATCAACAACCAAGTAATAATAATAAACGTACATTAGTAAGTCAACCATTAAGGCGTAAATTTGAAAATGCTATTGCACGTTCACATGAAGTGGAAGATGTGACATTAGAATATCATCATGAACTTGTTGATGAATTACCACAAATGGTTTCTAATCATCAAACATTACTAGATTTGTCCACACGTATGAATTATGACCGAGAAGATTATGCTAAACAATTAATTCATGTTATTGAAAAACAACAGCAACACTTAACAAAACTACGTACTAAAGCATTACAAATGCGTGACGCTGTTGCGTATGAAGAATCGGTTGCGAAAGCATTATCATCAAAATGATAATGTTCAAACGTAGAGGAAACGGTTGTTTTTTTCTTTCTTTTCTAGCGCCATTTTAACTTTTGGTTTTTCGGTGATGACTTTCTGCCGTTGATATATATACATATATATATATATATATTTACATATATTAGTCTGATACGATTTATCATGTACAGAAATTTGCATTCATCTGAAGCACTTTTATTTTATTTACTTAGCTCTGTTGCTCTCTCTCTCTCGTTTAGCTTTCTATTGTCGTATATGCATCGTTACTGTTATTATTTTTAGGATGCATAGAATATTCTGTGAACTCGAATATTATTCGTAATAATATGATAGGTCATAATTCACTTTAATTTTTAGCAAGAAAATCTCATTGCAAGATACAGCCTACGATCGGATACGCTTTTTTTGTTTTGCGCTGTTGATTCAATCACACTCGAATGTGAATCAGTTCAGTAAAGTTTTGAACAAAAATTTAATATCATAGACTGTTCAGTATAACCTCTTTTGAAAAGTAGTATCTTCTTAGTTTTAATACAAACTATTTCATTTGAAAGTATGCTTTACTCGAATTCTTTCAACCATTACTTTTTTGTTGAATTTCCAGTTGTTTCTTTTTTATTTTGTTCGGTTGTAATTTATTAAGTATTGCTGTTTAGTCAGTATCGTGTGATATTTTATTTGAAAAAACAAGAATATGAATCGCTTTGAAATCTTTCAAATCTATACACTTGGATGATCTTATTCAATTCCTCTATTTTTTCTCCTTGTTAAGCGTATTCAACACGTCATGATGTTTGTTTTTACTGAGCTGCGCACCTATTCGGTCACCGCGTCTAATGATCACTGAAAATATTTTTGTCTTTTATATATGGCACTATAGTATTTATTAAAATTTGGTTTTTGATTTCTCAACAATCACGTATCGATGACCATGCAAAGTTGATAATAACACGAAAGGATAAATGTATACTTGTGCGGTGTTTATTTCGATCGCAAACTACTTTGTAATTCAATTCGTACTAATTTAGGTTTCATACGAATGTAAATACTAGTCCACGTCATATCGAAATTCACTCAGTTTTAAGTCAGGCCAAGCTGCCATCAGAATAATATTGATTACGATTAAATTCCATATCTTGACTTTCAGTGGTTTATCGAGATTTTTTCATTCTTATGAAACGTATTTATAATGACGCTGCAAACAGTAATCAGGCGTATAACTTCTAAGATGAATAGGAAATTGTCGTTCTTCGAAAATAATTTTTTAATTAGTTGAAGGAAGGCATTCTTTTCTTGCAAATTATTAACTATTTTTCTCAATTTAGCACAAACTATTTCTACCGATGGAAAGATGGTTCATGTATTGAAGTAGGCCCAGTCAAATATGAGAAAACACAAAGTGCACCTAATGCAGCTAATGGACAAGGAGCCCTCGATAACGATGGATCCTCAGGAATTGGACCTAGTGGTGCAAAAACATCAATTGCAACATCATCGTCGAATCAAGAAGCTCAACATATCTATTCGTTTTATGATGACATTCGATATATTCCAGAAATACATGAAATGGCTACGGCAACACACGGTGTTGTTTCGAATACAATTAATAATATGATGAAATTTTTACTTAAATTTCGTAATTTTAAACATTTATGGCGTACCGATAAAGTAAGAAATTCTAATTCTAAGATCATTTCATATTTTTAGTTTATATTTAAATAGTTGGCAGTGTGTGAAAAATTCTTTGCCAAAAATCCATCACTTGGAACATTCGACGAAGAAGTCAATAGATATCAAAAGAATTTCGATGAAGTAAGTTATTTATTGAATATAAAAATGAAAGAAAAAACGTTCTATATTGAATTCAAATGTAGTTGGAGGCAATGACAAAATCTAAAGAGTTTGATTTTGTAAAACTAAATCTTACATCGTTTTTAAATGATTTAATTTCACAAGCCAAAGAAACCATACATATGTTTAGTAAATTTCTTGCTGATGATGCCAAAGCACGATTATTCGAATTACGTGATAAACTCGATGTAAGTTCAGTTGTTTCGACTTACAATGTTTCTAAAAGAAGAGTTTTATTTAGGAATATGAAAATAATCTTAAACGATCAACCGATACACTTGAAGATTTGAAATTTGTATTACGAACTATTGCTGAAATTCAAAATCAATCGGATGTTGTTGAAACGAAAATTAATCTTGTCAAAGATAAATATAATCTATTAGAAAG